ATGCTGAGTGACATGTGCCACATCTGACAGCTTTGCAGTTAGTGGAGTGTAAAAACCATGGGCTTTTAGGGGTGGAAAAATGTTTCTGGAAGTGTAGGATCTTCAGTGTTCTTAATTGCTTGCTAGTTTGCTGGGTCAAAATCAGGCTATGGATCTCCTGATCTGCAGGACTGTGCTTTTTTTTTTTGTTTGCTTATTTTTTTGTAACTACTGTTTTCAACTTTCTGTCATTTGATGGCATGGCTTTCTCAGCAGTTGCTGTGTTCTACCATAGAGTTAGCTGCATGCTGAGGGTGGAGAATTCCTTTCTGTCCATGTACAGTTTCATAAGGCTGTAGTAGTGGCCCTGAAGTTCATAGCTATTTCCAAGGAATGTAAATACTTGTACCAACTGATTTCAGGACAAGTACAGAACATAATACACTTAATGAAATCTCTCAGTGACAGAAAGTATTCCTACCAGTCAAGCTCAGTTCGGGCTTGCTGGCACAATCTATGTGTTTATGCTAGAAGAAGAGCTGCTCTGTGTGCATGTGATGCTGCCTTCTCACTGCCATCCCTTGCCATGTTTTCTGCCATGTGGGTTATCTTTAGTTTTTGCCAAAGACCACTGCTGGCATTTGCTGTCCTCAGAAGGCTTGCATTTTCTTTCCTGATGTCCTGCAGAGTGTCTAAACACAAGGACAACTCTGCAAAGACTTTGAGATGCCACTTGCAAAATGTATTACAAAAAAAGTGTGTAGCAAATACAGTTGCAATCAATTTTGGAAGTACTTAATGTACAGTTTTATCCTGTTAATTGATGCTCCAAATATGCCATGTAGATTGAATAAACTCAAATTTGTTTGCCAGACTTTTGAGAGTCGGTAGCTAATATTTCCACTTCATGGTCAACTGCTGGGGTCTGAGCTGGGCCAGATAGCCTCAAAATTAATGCCTGCATAATGCAAAGATGGAATGTGTTTAATAAAGTAGTTCTTCTCGGGTGGGGGGGGGGGGGGGGGGGGGGGGGGAAAGAATGCCAAGTCCTATTTTAATTATTTAATACTCGTTAAAACACAAGTAAGATTTAGGTTTTTCAGAAGGTTTAGGTTTTTCTATAGAAGAATCTATAGAAAACAGTATGCATCTAATAGACTTCCTTCTAACTAATGGTGTAAGTATGTAAATAAGCTTTAGCCTACATACAGTGAAATAGTATTGAAATCACTCTTGTAAACAGTGTATATGTCCTGTTGTTGGCTTTGCTTCAGCTGTTTCTTCACATTTGGCTAAGCTCAAGTAATAAATTGCAGTAAAGCTGGAATACACTCTGGAAGCAGATTAATCATTTGACTCAGTATTGTTTTTTAGTTTGCCATGAGAAATCTTTCCAATCTATGAGATCATGGATTAGCTGGTTGGACAATTTAGAGAGGCATGTAGTACATTCCCTTTTTTTGCTGCCTTCCCTTTGAAACTTGTAGAATCTCAGTAAAGTAAAAATGATTAATGACTCTTTTTTCCAAGTTTTACCACAAATGCCTATTGCGATGAAAAATGAAGCATCTGAATTGATACCTCCTTGTTTTATCTGATTTTGGACATTGTAGGTGACATTTATCTCATGAGATGTAGCTTAACTACCCATTTCAGGTGAGCAGGAATCTTTAAGGTCCCTTCCCACCAAAACCATTCTATGAGTTACATGTTTGAGACAATGATTTAGACTTGTCTTAAAATTGGTGAAAAAAAGTGAACTCTGTAGAAAGTGACTCACTTCGGGTTTCTAAAAACATATTGCATAAATTCACTGTAAAGTCCTTTTTCTTCCCCTTGATGAAAAAAGGTAACGATTAATTCTGTTGTGCTGTTGATGCTACCCGTGTACGTGGTGTGATGTCTGGTTGACTTCTCCCATCCATGGGAAGGGATGGTAGTGACTGATAAGGAGATCTGATACTTGAAGGCAATTTGTCTGGATTGGCAGTCTCCTTCATATGCCTTTCCAAATTTCATTACAAATGTGTGCTAAAATATTCCTTGCAAATGTCCTTTGCTGTGAGGATGAGAGATGTACTGCCGAGGTAGGTCACAAATTAGGCTAACAATACTACTCTTCCTTGTGTGGACACAGTAGGTGATATCTGCAGTGGCATTTTAGTTGTTGTACTGTTAGTTTATAGCTTTAATTGTTTTGTTTTGTTTTTTTTTTCTCTCCTGATACTGTACCATTTCACTTATTTGGTTGTGTTGAAGGTGCAACTTATTGCTCAACATACTGGGATGTAATGATCTCAATGGCAAGAACATTCCACCCTCAACTTGCATAACAAACAGGTTATGTTTATTTTATAATTGAACTTTGCATTCTTTATAAAATGTAGTTTTGTTGTATTCTGTGTCTCTTTTCTAGCTTACTTGTACATGCATGCAAAGGGGAGGTAAAGTGAGATAGTACTGGACTGTAAGAAATCTTGTCTCCAGCTGCAATCTTACTGAAAGCTGTTACATTTTTTTTCCTGCATCCTTGGAAGGGAACTTCACCCAGTGAAGTAACCACCATAAAAACCAGACAAGCTGTACGTTACATCAAGGATGAGGGTTATGTTGCCAAGACCCCACAAGAATGATGATAGTGGAAGATACAGATGTTGTGTCCAAGAAAGAGTTTGCTGGGGCCTGTCGGTCAGTGAGGGTGTGAGGGTAAGAGTCACAGTAACAGATGGGGGAAGCGGGGAGAAGGGAGAGAACTGTACATCCTAATAGTTATTAGTGGGAGTGATTTCTTACAGGACTGTAAATAAACCAGTGCCACTGATTTACCACTTGAAGATTAGTGTCTGGGCAAAATTACTGTTTCTACACATTTAAAAATTAGTGAAATGGATACTTCAAGGAGGATGTTTTCTTTTGTAGCAAGGGTAGATAATTTCAACATCAACTGATTTTCCCCTGGGTTTCCTTTACTGCCCTGGTTTTGGGATTTGGCTATTTATTGTTGGCTGAATTCAGAGGAAAACTATTCCTGATGATACTGAATCTGGCAGAATAGCTGAAGTTTGAATTTGGCTTGTATTGGTTAAATCAAGCTTTTGATTTGGTTGCCTATTGTCCAGTATGCTAATCCATGTTATTTCCAGCTGAGTTAAAGTGTAAAGTCATTAGAGCAGCATGGGGCTTTTGTTTGTAGAGGAAAGGTTAAGTTCTGCAGGCAGCTCTTACTGCTGCCAGCATAGCTGCTAATCTGAGTTTGGGAACTAATTACCTGTAATTGCTACAGGACAGAGTCCTGTATTGAGTAGAAGTCTGATTAGGCCAAAGTTTGGAAAGCTTTGTCATGGGGAAAGTTTTTAAACATTTTTCAGGAACTTGAATTCTGATTTAGTTTATTCAGAACCAGATACTTGCATGAGTATTATATTCAGCCTAATAACATCACCTAATCCTAATGGTGATATTTTAAATAAGGTCTGAAAATCCTAAAATGGAATTAACAAGCATTTTAAACTGTAATAGTCTGTAGCTATTTATGGACTGTCAATATTGTTACATTATTTTTGAGTTGTTTCTAATTCAGCTTTTGATAACCACAGATAGCTATTGGGGGTGTGAGAGATGAGGAAGTCAAAATTGATCTGATGAAGAGATTAATGCCATTTTTTTCCCAGGTGCTTATGATTAAAAGTTTGTATGCATTAGTATTTTTGGATATGCTTTTAGATGTGCTCAGAAACAGTTGTTTTCCTTTTTTAAACACTTAACTTTATTTTAAAATTCAAGAAGAGTTATTATTCTACACAAACGATTTAACTTCTGTATTGTGCCCTTTTACAAAAAAAAAGTGGAACACTGGTTTGGAATGAGGAGATTAAGAGCACAATAAATGAAAATAAATACCACCATCTTCACAAAGAGAGCTCAGCTTTAACAGAAGAAATGCAGGCTGCAGACTTGCATTGGGAATGAGGGAGAAATCAATTATGCTTGCAAGTAGTAGCATAAATATAAATTTTTGCTACAGTATGACTTATTAAGTCATGAGTTGAAAGCTATAATCCTTGACTAAGATTACTTACGATCATCCAGTAAGTTAGTATTTAACTTTTTTTTTAGGTTTCAAAGCCTAGTTAAATAAAACTTTGCAATTCTCTTTAAAAACTGCACATTATTTCCCTATTTTATACTGACTTTGATGTCTTTGATGTTGCTTTCTTCTTTCTTCTCCTAACTTAATATTGTAATAAGAGACAGTGTTTCTATGTGATAGGAACAAAAGTGCTCATTTAGGAAAAGTATTCTTATTACTAGTTTTGAGTGGAAAGAATGTGTAGTCCTCATCATGGATTTGCAGTCTTGAAGCTTCTATGGTTTACTTCCAAATAATGGGTGAATTGTATCAAAGTAATGACCCTTTTAATAATTTACAGGCTTAGACTATAGTTACTGAGTCATTCTGAAATTATTTGGGGTTTTATTTCAGTTACAGGGAATGTTCTCAAAGCTGCTGGTATAAATTAGGGGTTAGCAGATTGGGTCAGTACCTCTTCTTCAACCTGTGTATGGTAGCTTGAGAAAGTGTAAGCCTATCTGTTACTTATGTATTTGTAATGTTTCTCTATGACCTATGTGAGACAGAAAACTCTGGAAGGGTGTGTAGCATATCAGAAAATGTAGCTCTCTATGGGATTGCCCAGCAGCGTCAGAATTTTGCATTGGGCAGAACAGGAAAGGGTGGCGATTGATCACTGCAGTTCTGACATGCAAATAATTGGTAGTGGAATCCAAATAACAACTAGCCCTGAAGCCAAGCTCATCATAACATCTTACTAAAGTATGTATCTTTTATTTATTTATTTTTATTTCCATCTCTTCCTTTCGGTCACTTTAAAACTTTCTTCCTCAAGCAGTCATCAGGTCTGAGAAAAGCCTTGTTTTTACCTGCAGCCGATTGTGTAAGGTATTTCTGGATGGCTGTCCATTATTGATAATGCATTTTCTTTTCCTGCTGCTTTGTTTAGATGACAGTGCCTCTGCTGCCAGCAGTATGGAGGTCACAGACCGCATTGCCTCTCTGGAGCAGCGTGTCCAGATGCAGGAAGATGACATCCAGCTGCTCAAATCTGCCCTTGCTGATGTGGTCCGACGCTTGAATATTACAGAGGAGCAGCAGGCCATGCAGAACAAGAAAGGACCTACCAAAGGTTTGCATTTCAGACAGATGTAATATAGATAGTGCAGTTCAATAAGTGTTGCATATGTATTAAAATAGGTTATTCATTAGATCTTGAAATATTCAAAATAAACAAATCAAACTCTAAATAAAATACATTTGAAATTCAACTTGTTAAAAAGAATATATAGAAATCCAGATGGTTAAATCTGTGAGCCTTTACAGTTTACATAAAGCAGCAAAGCATTTGCATTTTCTTAATGCTTAATCCACAAATTACATTTAACCATTGCTACCACTTCCTTACTTCTGATCAAGGTATTTTATAAACTCTTTAGGGGAGGCATTGTCTTCTGTGGGTGAAATTCCTAATAGGCTGGGGCTTTTTGGTCCTAAAAAATGAATTAAACGTAAGTAAAAGGTAATTATAATTTAATTTAAAATGTCTTAAGTGTTTATGGATCATACAGACATAAGGCAGAGCTCTAAGCTAGCACAGAGTTGAACATGACTAAGGAGATGGCACAACACCAGCTGCTCAGCTATGAAAGAAAGGTAGAGCTGTGGTTGTTGCCTGACCATGTTCCAGAGCAGCAGAGCCAGCAAGGTACAAGGTGTGACAGATGTCACTGCTTGGCAGAATTCTGTGCTGTGCCCACATGCCACAGTGTGCTCTCCTGTGGCTCCTGCTCTGCAGGAATGGGTTTTTCTGTGCACAATTCAGAAAACCTGGACCTGGACATCCAGCACTTCACAGGAGTAAAGGTTTATTAGAACTCAACCAATGTGATTTACTGTAATGTGTGAGGCTGCAGAGGCCTCACAAGGTATTTTAGGATGGTCTTAGGAGTAAGAGTGGTGGCAACCTAGATGTGGAAAGAATGTACCAACTTCACAGGTTCTCTGTTGTCTAACTTCAGAAGTTGTTTCTTTTGGGGTCCTGGTATGTATTAATATTAATTAAAACCTTATTTTGCATGAGAATTATGTTACCTATTTATGGATTCATAATTTTCTCAGTTTAAAGTTAGGACTTTCTTTCATCTTGGTTATATATTTGTGACCCTGCAGCAAATACTTAGTTCTAGTAATTGATTTAACAGACTAGGTAGGAACTACTTAGTTTGGTGAACTGAGATGTCATGTTTATTACAAAGTTTTGTGTCAGGAGATGAGGAAAGCTGAAAGGGACAGAATTACAGACCCAAATAATGGTTGTGTCTCATGCTAGCTATCAGATGGAATAGGCACAAATATCTGTGATCTTGTCTTTATGTTCTCTTCTCTTTCTGTTGTAATCTCCTTATTTTGTCTTTGTTTTATTGAGAAAAAAAATTAAAATATCTGATAAGTTAAATGTTACTAAAGATAGCCTCCACTGTGATAAAATGTTCCATCAAATCTGGTTTTACAAGGAATTAAGAGGCTTCATGTTGCCTGCAAAATAGATATTATCTGATGCATGGAGGAAATAAAGTCTAGTAATTATCACTGAGTTTTAACCAAATCTGTTCTTCATGCCTGCTGGCTTTACTTAGCAAAATACAACCAGATTTCCATGGATTCTGTGAGCAGAGTTGAACTCTAAATCAGGAGAGCTTTTCTTGGTCATGGCAGACCATTAGAGCCATAGTTCAATGTACATTGAAGAAAAGCTGCTGTAAGCCTATCCCCCTGTCTTTTATGACTGGTCTTGTAGGGGTTTGTTTGTTTGTTTGTGAGGTTTTTGTGTATGTGTGTGTTTGGAGTTTTTTTTTCAATGTATGTATTGCATGCCTGGTTCTTAATGTGTGTGTGAAATTACAGTGTAAGATTTTTTACTGTAATAATGCAAATAGACGACTAAAATTGTCAATTGCTCTTCCATTGCAAATTACCAGAATTAGTCCTGGTATTTGCCAACAAAACCCACCTAATTTCAGGAGAAAAATGGTACTGTGACTGTTTATGTAAAGAACTTTCACTTTGCTGTACATCAGCTGTATCATTTACTGTATGGTCAACCTTATTAAACATTAATTATAAACATGAAAGAGAATCTGAAGTACTCGGACCACTTGCTTTTTTTCCAGCTGTTTTGTCAAATATGAGCTATTTCACATAATCACCTATTAATCCTTTGTAGGCACAACTACTTTATAAAAAGTTGTATGCATTTATTTAGTATAAGACTAATTTTAGTTTGGAATAGCATTATGAAGCCTTCTGATGGATACTGTTAGGAGAGGGGCTTTGTTAAACATGGGAGGAGCTGGAGTGGTGGCTTCTCATGCCCCTTGGGCTGCATGGACTGAACCTGGGTTTATTTTCTTTATATTGTTAATGACTAATTCCACATCTGGAATTTTTAAAAGTGGTATTCAATCCCACAGAGTGTCACAGAAGTTGTGTCCATGCAAACTGGGGTTTGAAGCATACTGGATGCTGCTGTTATCATTTGATCTATAGATGAAGTAGATCAGGATTAAATGTGTGTGTATTGGGGGAGGTCTGTGCCTTTGGAAAAACAGGATCCCCTCGGTACTGTATAAAGTCTGGAACAAGAATCTTCATAGGACAAATGTCTTTATTTTTTCTGAGTACTTCAGATTTGAAATTAATTTAAAGATATCAAGTTCCAGCCTTTCAAATCTATAATGGAAAAATCTTGAACTTGTTTTCAGTCTTTGTGCTCTTGAGCTAAGCAGCTTAAAAGCAGCATACATCATGGAAAGGGAACAGCTTATCTTGTCCATTTGTGGAGCTCCTTCCCTAATGGTGTTTTGGGTTTTCTTTAGTTGTTTGTGTTTTTTCCCTTTCCTTATTTAATTCTGCTTCTTGGTGGAGTTTCAATATGGCTTCCTGCCTTTGTTTTACTTGTGTTTGTTGTTCTTTCCTTTTGCAATTATTGGTTTGTTTGTAAACTTAACAGCCCTATTAATTCATAGATCAGAGTATGATTAAAAAAGCTGCTGCTGAGGCTGATAAACTTGTCAGTCCTGCTACCACAGGTAAGACCTCGAAGCACCAGAACTTCCAAAATAAACATTACTGACAAAGCAGTGTGTTACTGACTTCTAACAGCCATGACATGTTTGGGATTGTGTGACTGTGATGCCAGTTACCACTGGTGTGAACTAGCTGTTGTAAGTAAAACTAAATAGCTCCTGAGTAAACAGTGGATTTATTGAATAATGCACAGTTGTTCTGTATGTTGTGCAAGAGTTTCATGGTGTTGCTTCCTACACTAGCTGACCATTTAAATCTCCATTTCCAGAAGTGTGGGTTGTGGATTGGTGCTGGATGTGAAGCAAAATTTCTGTTAAAGGTTGCAGGGTTTATTCCTGGCTGCTGCTAGTTTTGATTTCATAAGGTTAGGAGTGTAAACAGACTCAAGCTAGCTCACTCCAGCTACTCTTTAGTAGGCATTCTTTTTAAATAACTACAAATAAGGAAAATACTTTAATATAATTTTTTTAAAATTTCAATTACTGTTCTAATTTGTCTTCTCAAATTCATTAAAATTTTGTGAACTACAGAAAGATCGCCAGGAGACAGGTCCAAAACTTCTCGACTGTAGCTACCTGTGATTCTGTAAAATGCAACAGAAATCAATTTTATGCATATGGATTAATTGCAACAGTGCAGCAATTAGGAAACAAGCAGCAGATCTTCCAGCACAAAACTGTAAAAAGAAATTAATATACCAAAAAATAAAGGAGAAGTAAATAGAATTATATCTGAATTTATTAATAAAAAAATAAATAGAGGCTTGGGAAGCCAAGTAAACTTCAGATGTTTTGTATAAGCTCTAAAGACAGCATTAGTCACTTAAAACAGATCATGGAAGGCAGGGCTGGAAGGCACCCTCAGTGAGCATAGAGAAAATTTTATTTTTATCTCCTTTGCTGACTTTCTTTCCTGTCATCCTTCAGTCTTCTAAGCCAAATAAGCCTCATTCCTTCAGTATTTGCCTTATAGGTTGTTTTCTAAATTTTTCTCCTCTGAACAAATAAATGACAAATACATAACGAGTAAGTGTGCATTCTAACAAAGTTTCAGGAGAAAGTTTGTCTTGCAAGTTGTCTATAGTATACTGTATGTAGTGACAGTCTTTTGAAGGCACAGTTTTTCACGTCTATCTTTTTATTCAGTATATGAAAACTTAGGGTGAACAAGTCAATAAATGCTTGCTGTCAGTGCTACAATAAGATGCTGTTACAATATCACCTATAACTATATACAATTGGTACTGTTTCAGTTTAGCCTTTTAGTCCTTTTATCCTTGGCAGTCTTTTTTGAAGAACATTTCATAGGTGTTCTCCCTGCCATCCCCTCCAAATTCAATGAAATTTTATGTTCCTAAAGTGATTTGTTACTGCTGCCTTCTCTCAGGTGGTGTTTCTCTGAATCCAGAGGCTTTTGGCATCTTTACAATGGCTTGTAATACAAAGTCCTGTCAAATTTCAAGTGATTCAAGGTTTTTTCTCTGCTGTAGAGAGAGCACTAGTCATGTTTGTGTCTGTGTTTCAAGGCTATGATCCACAGTAGTATTTGTGTTGGTACTCATTGCTTGCAGTTTTAAACACTGTTTTTGCAACTAACTTCTAACTACTTGAATTGGACTTTTCGTTATTCTAATGTTAATTACAGCTATGACACATAGATCCTTTTTTTTGTGCCAACATTTGATCAGAAGAATGTAGGTAGATAATATCAGCTTCACTCTTCTGATTTCAGTAGCTTTTTCTGAATAAAGGGTAAAAATTCCTTCTGTCAAACATAAGCCCACATTCTATGAAAAAAAGACCTTTTAGGGGGAGTAGAAATTTCTTAATAGATAATTTGCTTGTGGAAAACCTCCAACAAGACTGAGGGATGAAGAGCAGGAGTTTCTGGGATGATAATTTGCCTTCATTTCTTGCACTCCTCTGGATGCTTATCCAGGTGGGCAAGAGGCTGATGCTCCTTTGACAGAGCAGGATTGGTTTTGTGCTTACAACTAAGCTCATTTATCTAGGACAGAGTTTTTACTTGATAGGACTATTATTATTATGAGTAATAATAATTTTTAAAAATTCCTCAATATTAAAACCCTCATCTATGCTGAATTTGGCCATAGCGACACAAAAATGGCATGTGACATGGAAAATTTAAAATATTTTAGTGTTGTTTGCTAAAGAAAAAATATACAAAAGTAAATGAAGGCAATGATTTCATCTTATGCTTGTTTTACAGCAAGACCACTGGTACAAACCCTGCCTTTAAGGACTACAGTTAACAATGGAACTGTATTACCAAAGAAACCAAGTGGCTCTTTACCTTCTCCATCAGGAACCAGAAAGGAGACTGTATCACCAGCAGCAAAAAGGTAGGCATGTATAAGAAACCTTACAACCATGGAATTGAAAACATGATATAGCTCCTGTTTTAATCTTCTGGATATGTAGTTTTACTTACTTGCAAAGCAGCAGACTAAATATTTAGTTCGGAAAGAAAAGGAGATGGATTTCATTCTAAGAGGCTTTAAATTTATTCGTTCTAATTACAATTAAGGTTATTATCATGAGTATTGAAAGAATGCACAATGCTTGGTCTTACTGGTTTGTGTACATTTCTTGCTTTTAAGAATTTAGCATAGGGATGATAAAGCATTTCTACTGTGCTGTTGACCACCATGATGTGAAAAGTGGTGCAAGAATTCTTTGAGTAGGTAGTAGAAAATATATAGACTGCAGAGAAACAGTGTTATCATTGCAAATCAGTATGTTATCTTTGGTGGCTTTCCCTCACTAACAAAATTATCATATAAACTGCATGCACAGGGTTAGCAGCATCTCAGGGAGGAGGAAAATTCTATGCCTAGCACATATTTATGCAAATGAAAACATCCATCTTTAGATATCTTATCATTAGCATGTATTAAGCCCTTTTAAAAATTACTGCTCTGTCCCAATTTGCTTTGTGTGTAGCTGTTTTTAAATATACTAAATGTTTTATACATCTGAGTTATAAGGAATGGAATGGATTGGGTGAAGCAAGTTCAGGTTATATGTGGCAGTTATTGTGGTGCTAATCTGCTGTGTGGTATGTGTGTAAAAGATCATAGTGTGGGGTGTGGGGTTTAGATTGAGGGATTTTTTTGTACATTTCTTTTGTGTGTCTCCTCATCTTTTTGTAGTGATGATGCTGTCAGCTCTGAGGGAGGGTGAATTGTAGAGATGAGAGCATTAACCTGCTAAGATCCAAGGTCTCTCTCTTAAAATTAATTTTTCCTCAAAGGGGAGATGGTGGCTAAAGATATGCCAGTTTTGGTTAATGTGTTCAAGGGGACTGATTTTCAAGAAACTCCAGGTTCTGTTTTTATAGAGAGAAGTTACATTGTGCACAATTAAATTTGGAAAATACCGTATTTGTTTATGTCACAAAAATGAACTCCTGTGAGTTCTTAAGAGCTGGAGTTTGCTGCAGCTGTAGGCTTTGGCAGGCTGGTCTGAATCAGACCTTAACAGAAGAGAAAAAAAGTAAATACTGTCCAAACTTTCCCATTATTAAATTTGTGGAGGTTTGGAAATGGGTGAAAGAACTTCCCTTTTAGAAAAGGAGATGTAATTGTGTTTAAAAACAAGTCCTAAGTAGTACATGTTGAATTTTAAAACACATTTGTTCTTTCCAAATTATTTTTTCTTAATAATTATAATAATTTCATTCTTCCTAATTAAGTTTCTGTTATAAAACATATGAGAGCACAGGCACTGGGAGACTTCACCTGTGTACAGAGGGTGTGATTCCTGAGTCTCTGTGCTCTGTCTCTGGGCTTCAACATAGGATGTTCTGCCCCAGAGTAGGGTGGGTGAAGTGCAGGTCAGGATCATACTCATGCCTTCTCTGTTCTTGGAGGCCTTTATGGAAGTTCAGGTGTTTCATCTGGTATTGCCTGTAGGTATTATCCTGGCTTAGGATCCCTGTAGATAAGTGGCACCCTGTATTTCTTCCACCTGACCCATGTGCAGCCTGGATACCCAGAATGCCAGTGGGAAAGTCCTTACAGAGCATCCTTCAGGAGTATTTTTAGACTGTCTTAACGTGTAAGAAATTCTTCCACAGGCCACGTATTTAGTGTTCTTTTATTATGCTTTGTCCCTTCACATCGCTGAAGAAGCTAGGCTGAAGGTGCTTTAAATATGCAGCATGAAAATGTGTGTACAGTTTTGGAGAAAAAAAAAAAAATGGACAGTTTTGCTGAACTAGGTGAGCACTTGGTAAGAGTGCTTTGGAGGGTGGGATTGTTTCATGTCCTGAAAAAAGCAGTTGTAAGTTCAGATACTGTATAATTATTGCTTCCTTCAAATGCTCCAAAATTCTATATTGGTGTCTTTAACATGAAAATGTTCATTATTGTTACCTTTATTAAACTATATTAAAGCATTTTCCTATGCCTTGCCTATAAATGTACTTCAAGAGGAATAAAGTGGAGTGGCAAGAACCTCATCAATTAATTACTGTACAAAACATTTTTTGGTAAATTATTCTCTAATAATTTAACAATGAACCTTGAAATAACTGATCAGATTTCAGGGTTTTATAGTAAATGATGTTCCACATATTCCATATTCAAAGATGATACAGTAAGTGCTCCAAATATCTTTCTTGTATACAGTCAAGTAGAATAATTCAGTGTGCATCAAGATTAATTCAATCACACTTTGTATTTATATTGGACCCTTTTACCTTCAGAAAATGCATGTGTTTATGCATAAAACAGTAATGGAATTACATCAGCAAAATCAAAGAGCTTCCTTTTTCAAGTGGTAGGACTTGTTTGTTTGTGTTAGAAGCTTCTCTCAGTTGCACAGTTACAGATGGTGGGAAATTTCAAGGTTTTTTTTACTTCTGATTTCTATTAAGCAATGCTCTTTTCTTATGAACTGCTTCTAGAACTGTGGCTAATTTGTAGTGTAGTTTAGTCCAAAATATGGTCATGTGACACACCAGCTGAAAATAGTCTTAAGTGTTTATAGATGTTTTTAAACTTAATTTTTACATGAACGCTTTTAATATTTTTCTATACAACACAGGTGCACAGTTGAAAACATAGAATTTGCAAAATGAAAGTTAAAAACAACAGTAGGAAGGGAAATTTTTTTTTTATGAATTGTCTTCTAAACTTTTGATCTGCTGTTGAGACTGGCAAATATCTGCTACGATTGCAATAGTAAAAAATAGCATCTTCCATTTTTTTCTTATCTGTGACCATATATCTAAGATAATGTGCAGGTGAATGGAATCCTTCCCAAATGTTTTCCTGCCTTATGCAAAGAGGGCTTACAATCAAATATTTTCTGAGTCCTCTCTTCTCCTATACTTAGCACTGTTTAGGTTAAGACTGTATGATGTCCAATTGAAATGACATCAGTCTGTCCCTTGAAACAGTTTGTTGTGCATTATTTATGTAAATATATGCAAATAGTCTGCATGGGGAATAAGTGTACATCCATACATTCTCCAGCTTAGAGATAGAAATATTTACTGATATGTCTGCCGACATAATCTTATTTCATACTGTATGAATTGTATTATATGTGTTGGTTAACTCATTTGAGCCCACTGGTTGGTATATGGCTTATCTGCCTTGCTGGATTACCAAGGAGATATGGTTCAGAGTTCACTGCATTTTCTGATTTCCCATTTAATATTTGAAATGGAAATGACTTCTTCTGGCAGGAATATAAAATTGGAGGTAATAATAAATGCTTGAGGCTGAAAGGGTGGAGCTAGCAGGCTTTTATTTGAGTTCTGCCATATATTCTCTCAGTGACCTTATGCAAATCATGTAACCTCTATGCATATTGCTTTTCCTTATGTAAAACATGTATCTGGATATCAGTAGGTTCTTATAGGACCTAATGTGATAATTAGATCCAGATCTTGCAAAGCACTGAGTAACCTCAGCTGACTCTGACTTCAATTAGAATTGAGGGCACCAAACCTGGCTTCAGCATTCAGATCTCACAGTAAAAACCCAATTATCCAGGTTAAGAAAGGACTGAAATAACTTGAATATTGCAAAAGCACAAATCCAAAACATGGATCAACTGGATTATAAAAGTATATGGTGGTAATACCGTGCAAGATAGAAAGCCTGGTGATGCTGGTGGTACTGGGACAAAAAATTGTGGTCAAGCACCAAGAGGAGCTGCTGCACTTCAGCTCTGGGGACCATGTGAACACAGCTCTGGGTACCAGCCAGCTAACAGAGGGCTGGAGTGATTCTGAGATGGGTTGAACAATCACCTGACACAGATGAACAATCAAGAATTGCCTGGCTTTGAAAAGTGTTTCTATGTCATCTTCACAAGAAACCTTTGATCAGAGGATTTGATTTGAATTTTAATATATTTACTAATTCTGTGATTTAAAAGTATATGAGCTATTTTGAGTAACAGGTTTTTGAATGCTGCCATAGTTTTATTCTAAACTTTGTGCTTAGAATAACTATGTGAAATTTTCATTACGAATAAGATAAGTTTAGTGTATTGTGAGCAGAACTTTCCCTTCCCCCTGCACTCTTTCTTTGGCATTTAATGTGTCTTGAAGTTTGCTGCTTAACACTAAATTTGTCTTTGGAATTTGGCCAGTGCGTAGTAGTGATGTTTTGTGTTCCCTGTTAAAATCTAAGGTTTTGTGACTCATCTGGGATAGCTTTGTTTCCAAGAGTTGAGAGGGGAAAAATAAGTAAGGGAGGAGAAAGCAGACAGTACCTTTCCCAGTAGGGAAGCTGGTGCAGACTGCAGGCTTGCACATACTTTGCCTTTCAAAAGGAGACAATCAGTCATTCTTTCTCCCCCAGCAGATTGCAAAGTATTACAATGGTGCAAAACTCTGACAATGGAGATCAAAAGGAAGAAGCAGGAACAAAGAAAACATAAAGAGCTTTGTTTGCAGGGAGAATAAAATACTTTAATATGATAAATTCCTGTTCTTCTAAACTCTAAACACATGGCCCCTAGGAAATTGTTCAGTCGCCTGGAATTAATGTTGGGGGGCAGCGATGGTTTGTAACTGGCACACACACAAACTCTGAATCAAACCTTCAATTAAATGCTCTGTGTAACACTCATGTCTCAAAGAAAATGGTTTAAAATATTTAGAATATAAATTAAAAAAGAAATCCCTCTCCGTTGAACTTTGAGTGGAAAAACTATTACAACCACTTCACAATATCTCTAACAATTAAAGTTATTAGTGCATTTTGCTCAGAGGCGTAATGAAATTAAAGTCATATGTTATTCCTGAGTTCATTCTAATTGATTTAAATGAGGGTCAGAATGAATGCTAGACAAAATGCCATCAGTTTCTGTCTTAAGAGCATTGTGTACTGGTTTTTAATTTCTTTTATTAAAAAGCTTTTATATTTTCCCAAGTAATTTTAGTAATAAGGTATATATCTTTTTAATTTTGACCAGATTTGTTCACCACAATTCAGTAATGCAACTGCCTGAAACATTCATGCTATGCAGTGGTATATGTATGTATATATGAGGATTTATTTTCTTGTCTTTGTTGTTGCTTTTTTAATAGTCTTTGTCTTTTAGCTGGATCATCTGTCGTGTTCCTTCAGATAGCCTCTTTGATTTTTATTTTTATTTTTAATTTTATTTTTGAGTCACTTTACAAATGGTCAGTCTATGGGGGCACTGCTGAGATTTTGTCATTCAAAGATACATTGGTGTTCTTAAATGTATGGTTTGAAATGATCAAACATCTAACTGAGGCAATAAGCACTTTGTTGTTTACTCTTGCACGTGACTTCATATCTTGAAAGCATGCAATTTTGTCTTTTAATGTGTCTTGTAAATGTCTTGTTTCCACATTTTATTGTTGCATTCACTTTTTATTCTGCTTTGTTTACGCACCTCTCAATCTGGATTAAGCAGGTCTGTGAATCTTCTCAATGCATGCAAACTGAAAAAGCCTGCTCTAAGGTGAGGGATCCTTAATAGCTTTGTAGTGTTGAAGTTCAGTTGTTTTTCCTTTCCATTTCAATTCAACACATAGAAAGTGGCTGTTTTAGTAAAAGCATTAACATGATAGAACTGTAATTATTATTGCCATTTTTAACATTTCCAGAAGTACATGTCTAAAACTTCCTCATCATTGATAAATGCATCACATGACTTAGATAATAATAATGTCAGTGGTGGTAATCTGCATTATTTCATACTAACATAATTTTTATTATGGGGGTATTAGACTGCATTGCTGCCCTAAACAAGTTAAAAATTGTGCAACTAAATATTATCTTCTTAAATAATTGCAAATTCTCTCCTTTCATATCGCTAATGTTCAAGCCAAATTCTGTTATACTCTTACAAACCTATAAGCTAAATTAGTATTTTTTGTCATTTTAAATTCCTTCTCAGGTGGCAGTGTATCTACTGTAGCTGTGGATATAATCACTGCTGTTTAACAGTCTAGCTAACAAAATGTCTATAATGCCAAAAGTGCGTTATTATAATGGAGTTGTAATCCTTGTTTCCAACCACCAACTAATACTTCTCACTGGGCTTTTGTTGTTGTGGAAAGTTAAAAATAAAATTTGTCAGAAGATAGCATTACTAACTAGTTTAAGCAGTGATGGACATAAATCATAAGGGTTTAAAAAAAAATTTACACCTGTGGTTGAAGAAGTTTTTATACTGATATGAAACTTCATTATTCAGAAAGAAGATAGAATTAAGCTTCTAAATTTTAGTCCCACCCTTTCATTTCTTATCCTCTAGTTCATCTTTTGAATGTTGACAGCTATAAAAATAAAACTCCAAGCAACATTAAAATTAGTTTCAAATTGTTTCTGTAACTTGATTTTTTTCTCAGATTAGTATACTTTGATAATGTACTTTATTTAATTTTGGTGTAGGCTGATGTTGACGCTGCTTATCCTTAACGAAGAAAATATGAGTCAACATAAGTCTACACTGAAATTTTCCTAACCAGGAAAGGATGTCAAAATAAAAATTTGATCCTGACAAATCACAGAGGATGTTTCTGTAATTAATGTATATAATAGTGGAAGACACATGCTAACAAAGCTATTTTATTTGGAATAAACATTTTCAGTATCAAAGTTTTATTTTTTAACTGGAGTAGTGTTAAATTGGATGATGTTATGAGATGTGGGGAGAATAGTTAAATATTTACAGTAAATTCTTTAATTGACTAGAGAAGGTTCTTTTTCATGCATTTGACATTGAGATGACTTGGATAATGTTAGCCTAGTGTAGGAAGTACACTTCTGAAAATAAGACAGAACTAAATTCTTGTTGCTGCCTTTTCTCTTCCCCTATGAATGTATTTTGTTCTGTCTTTGTGTAATTTTGCATTCTGCTTGCTCTCTTACATTGCTTTCTCCACAGAAACACTATTTTTTTAATTTCAGCTTAATCATTTGAAGCTTGTTTTTATTACAAGAATGCAGCACTGAACATCTATCCCACCATGGCATGTACCAGAAGGCTTTTTTGTCAAGCTGCCTGAGATGCACCTTAACTTGCAGATCCGCCCCTGGATGGGCACTGCCTTCTTTTCAGAAGGGCAATTTCTTTCCAGAAAGACTCTGGTTCAGGTGTTCTCATCATTTCTGTAATTGAGTCTGATTTGAGATGTTGAAACATTCCCCTCCTTGCTGGTAAAAAGACATGGGGGAGCAGAAATAAGTTTGGGGTTTTTTTAAGCAGGTGGTGTACAGTTGCTAAGCTGAGCATTTCTTGACCAGACAGAAAAGTCTTGGTTCCTCTAGTTATGGAGAGCCATCTTACACCATGCATGAAGTGGGACAGAGGCAGAGGAGCTGAGATGACAGGGTAGGGATAGCTGTTAGGGACTGCTGGGGAGGTTTGGAGTAGTCCTCAAGAATGAGATAAGTATTCTGGTAAGCAGAGCATCTCTGGGGGGGTATGGGGGCTAAGGAGGAGGTGGTTGGGAATGATAAAAGGTGTGGCTAGGGTAAGACCAGCCTTAAAGGAGAAAGTACTGAAGTTTTCACAGTGGGATGGAGGATGTGGCTGGGATTTGGGTGGAGAGATGGGAACTGGAAAGCAATCATTGGTGTCCCTGGTTTCTGGGGTGAGAGAGCTGCTGAAGTTAGTTATTTAGTGTGGGAATTTTATAACTTAAAACAGATATTTTCACTGTGCTTTCGGCAGGGGAGAAAATAGTACAGGACTGAAATGGGGGGGAAAATGAGACCCTGACACTGAGTCGTGTTGTTCAGCTGCTGCCATGGGGGTGATTCCTGCCCCAGTCTGGGTACTGCTGCCTGAGCCTCTGCTGCAAAGGGCCTGCAGCAACTTGTAAAGCATTACCTGCTTTGGGGCCTCACCCTTAGCTGCTCCCTCTCTTGCTAGGAAGCACTGCTTTAGAGAGAAGTGCTTTGGTCAATAATTTGTCTCCTGTAAGGTGTAAGTTCTGGATGAGCTTCTCTTAATTTACTAAGTAACACTGCTTGTATTTTGGCTCACATTTTTCCACCAGGGAGAGCTGGATGTCTAAGAGACGCCATAAAGTCACGCAATAGGTCCCTTCATAGCTATCTTTGCAGGAAGGATGGTTGAAGAGTGAGAGGGCAGGGTGAGCTTTAAGCCTTAGAGAAACCTCCTGTCAGGACATGTGAGGAATCTAATCTATTCATACATGTAACTAGGAAGCTTACATTTTTGTCAACAATAAAAAATGCAGACTAGCTCACCATTAATTGCAGTTTGGAGTATGTTAAAACTAGCTTTGAACCACAGAGTAATTGATACTGGATGAAGACCCAAAGTTAGCTTGCTTGTGTTCAAATTTTGACATACTTTTGGCATTCTCTGTAGTCTGGCTGGAAATGTCAGGCAATATACTTTCTCTTTAAATCTTTCACTTCTTCGTGAGAATCCAAAAGTTCAGAAGTATGGAGTGGTAGTCAGAGATTTGAAACATGACCCGGAAAAGTGATTGCAACTACTCAATGAATTTGGTTTAGCCCATCTTCTGTTTTATGATTAAGGAAAAAGTAGTATGTTTATCTCTGTTGCACCAGATACTCAGCAAATCTCTTACACAGGCTCTTTAACAAATCAAATTAAGATTTTTTTTTTAAATCATAGTTATTTTTTTAGGGTTAGTGTTCTACTTGATACATTTCTCATAAATATTTATTGTAGGATATATACTTTTACAAGTGCCACTGTGAAACTTGCTCCTTGTTTTATTAGCACCATTAAGAGAACCAGTTCAGCTGAGCGTGTGTCCCCAGGAGGTCGGAGGGAAAGCTATGGAGATTCCAAAGGGAGTCGCAACCGCACTGGTTCCACCAGCAGTTCATCTAGTGGTAAAAAGAACAGTGAAAGGTAATGTCATCTAAGTATCTAACCCCTTTCTCTGCCTCCTGCTCTAATAGTGAAATTAGTTTCTTTAGTGAACTTCATTTTTCTTGTGTAAAATATTGGAAGCTTTTGTTTTTACAAAGCTCCAATTCTTGAATACAAGTATGCGTTAAAACATTTGAAATAAAACAGGTTTTCATATTTAGATTAAATTTTGTTTGCCTTATTTCCAAACTATAAACAGTATGAGAACTTAGAGTTTCCCAGGAAAGTTCATAATTATTAAACATGTCTTTTCTAATATTTTAGTGATTTCCCTTGGTCTTTATATTCCTGACAAGTGCTTCTTTGAGTTTCTGGTTGTGGTGCATTGACCCCAGCTGGCATCGAAGTATCACACAGCCATTCACTTCCTGTCCCTAGTGGGATGAGGAGAAGAAAATAGGAAGAACAAAAGTGAGAAAACTCATATATCAAGATAAAAGTAGTTTAAGAAGTGGAGGAAAGAGGGCGAAAAACCAAAACAGTTGCTGAAAAGCATTCAGTCACCACATCCCACGTGTAGATTGATGTCCAGTCACTCTCTGGGCTATGAGTGCCTTGATCTGACAGCCAGATTAAATATAAACGAAGAGAGAGGTTTACATGCGAGTGCTGTTCAGTGAAGCAGAATGAAGTGATGCCTATCTCTGTGTATCTTTGATCATGTTTCTCTGTATTGCTGACAGCACAGAGAAAAGAGGATATCTTGTCCAAGGGTTTCAGACTTAGGATAGCCTTGAACAAATAGCTGTTTCATTGAGGTTCATCAGTATTGTCAGTATAGGTCAATCAGTTCTTTCCTGTATTTCCTAGTCAGAATTTAGTTTCAGCCATTTCACTTGACCTGTTCTGTTGCAGTTTCCTTTGCAAGAAATGGTGTTGATGGTACTGTTTCACTTTCTCACTGATGATGTGACCATAAAAACACATTGTTAATGAAGCTCAACTAATAACTTAATTTACCTGCTCTCTTTGGGCATCAGTGTCATTACACGAGTCATTGTCAATGTGGCACAAAATATTCCTTCCTTTTTATCCCTTTAGCATATTTGCTTGAGTAACGAGTGACTGAGCTGATTGTGCACTATTTTACAACCCAGATATGGGTGATTACATTTTTAATAGCTAGGTTTCTGGCCTATGTTTTCAGCTATGAAGCAAGACAGCAAGTGTGCAAACTATGGAACATAGAATAAGTTATGGATTGGGATAAAAGGGCAGACTAGTGAGGGTGGCACTTTGTGGCTGTTTGCTACAAGCTGCCTGAACAGGGGGAAGCACATTGTATCTTTTACAGGCAGCTTGAAGCAGCCTCAAAGTCACAGGCCCTGGTTCTTGTGGGAGACTTTAACTACCTGGACATACGCTAGAGAAGCAACACAGCAAAGCACAAACAGTCCAGGAGGTTCCTGGAAAGCATTGATGGAAACTTCCTGTCAAAGGTAGTGGAAGATCCCACGAGGAATAGTGTGCTGCTTGACCTTGTGATAACAAGCAGGGAAGGCCCTGTTGGAATGTGAAAGTTGAAAGCAGCTTTGGTTGTCACGACCATGAGCTGAGCTGGAGTTCAGAACCAGGAGGGGATGAAGCAGGGCAGCAAGTAAGATTTTAACCGCGGACTTCAAAAGTCCTAACTTTAGCCTGCTCAGGAATCTTGGAAGAATCCTATAGGAGCAAGACCTGCAGGGAAGAGGGATCCAAGAGAGTTGGTTGATATTCAGTGATCACTTCCTCCAGGCTCAAGAACCGTGCATCCAGATGAGCATCAGGAAAAGTGGACAAGAGACCTGCATGCATGGATAAAGGAGAAGGTGTTCTGGTGGACAACAGGCTGTCTGTGGGTCGTGTCCAAGTGTGCCCTGGTGGCCAGGAAGGCCAGTGGAATCCTAGGATGCAATAGGAAGAGCATTGCCAGCAGGTTGAGGGAGGTGATCCTATATAAAATCATAGAATTGTCAAGGTTGGAAGAGACCTTTTAGATCATCAAGTCCAACCATCCCATTTTGCCCTTCTACTTGGCCCTGGTGAGGCACATCTGGGATGCTGTGTCCGGTTCTGGGCTCCTCAGTACAAGAGGGACATGGAGCTCCTGGAGTGAGTCCAGCAGAGGGCTACAAAGTTGATCAAGGAACTGGAACAGGTCTTTTACAAGGAAAGGCTGATGTAGCGGGGCCTGTTCAGCCCCCAGAAGACAACTGAGAGGGGGCCTCATTGATGTCTACAAGTATCTGAGCAGAGGGTGTCATGACAATGAAGCCAGGCTCTTCTTAGTGGTGCCAAGCAATAAGTAGAGATAATGGGCAGAAGACTGATGCACAGGAATAGGAGGAAAAATGTTTTTACCATGTGAGTGACAGAGCACTAGAAGAGATTGTCCAGAGAGACTCCCTCAGTGGGGATATCTGAGAACTGTCTGGACACAATTCTGTGCCATGTGCTCTGGTACAACCTTGCTTGAGCAGGGAGGTTGGACCAGGTGAACATCTGCGATCCCTTCCACCTGACCTGTGACTCAGTGAAAGGATTAGCAAATTAAAGGAATACTGGAAAAATTTAAATACTATCAGAAAAAATGTTATAAAATTGTAACCAAGGAAGAGGTAATATTTACACAAATAACATGTCGTTTGCATTCTGCATCCATGCATGTGAATGAAGTTTTGATAAGCCAAGAGAATTCCAAAGGATTGGGCCTTCTGGTACTTCCAGAAATTTGACTATATCTTAGCATCTGATTTTTTTTTTTCCCCTTAACATTTTTGTAACATAATTATAAGCAAAAAATAACTAATAGATGTGGGTTTCATTTTGTTTCTAAGATTTTTTTATTTCAAGATTTCTAAAAGACAAATATAACTGAAAAAAATACAAAATATCCATAAATAAATATTACTTTAGATAGGAAAAGCAATCTATTATTAGTTTACTTAGGAACATCTGCATGTGCAGATTTAAGCAAAATCTTTTCTCAGACCCTAGTAGAGAATGTATATCTGCGCACATCCGAATCAGCAAACCAAGAATCAACAATCTCAGGGACAAGTGAGCCTGAAAGGTTTGAAAGGCGAAACCAAGCAAAACCCATAATGACCAGTGAAAGGACAGCTAAAAACCAGCTCACTCTAATTTAAGCTGCAAATTCTGTAAAGTGTTGCAGCGGTGTGTAACTTCATGCAGCTACATTGCCTTGGTGAAGTCATTAGCGTGGAGCTGCTGTTGTCTGTATGGATCTCTTGAAATGGCTGGATATTTTTTCTAAGGCTTTGCTTTTGATTTTGCATCTATGTATAACTTCCTACTCTATCACACATATCAAATTGTATCAATAGCCATTATGTGGTGACCTCATTGATTAAAATAATTTATCTTCTATAAACAAAACAAACGTGTTATGGATACTTAGATGGGTCGACTTGTTTCTGGAATATGAACAGCAGTTATTTCACCTATCAATGGTGAATCTCATTGCTTTTCTAATTTGCTGTAGTAATTTACTGTAGTTTTTGAAAAAGTTTTAACAAACATGATCCTACAGTCCCCTTGCTCTGTGTAATTTATCTTATATAAAAAATTGCATTAGATCAAGTGCCAAAAAGATTAATTCAGTGTGTGTTATGCAGTGGACGATCTACAGGTCAAAATCTAAAACAATACAGTGCTTTGCAAAGTCAGTTTTATGGATATATCTCTGATCCTGCTACCTGTTTAAGGTGACAATTATCTGAAATTAGTTATATGTTAATCCTAGTAAACACATGAAGTGAGACTATTAGATTATTCACTTAAATTAATGAAAGACATTAAATATGACTTCTGTGAGCTATATAAATGTACTGTACACTTAAAAATTAATTCCAAACTAGCTGAGAAATAAAAACATTGCAACAAAATAATGGTTATCTGTACTTGAGAAGACTTTTTAATTTTTACATACTATTTCAACAGAAACACAATGGTTATGTAATCTTGCAATTGTTAGGCCACAAAGGGTTGAAATACTCACTTGGGATTTGGGGAGAAGGTCCAGCACGCAAGGCATGCAATGGTTAAGTAAAGTGCAAGTATTCCAAGGAACTAATCAAGAGCATGTGTTAGATTGCCTCAGCTGGTGCTCATGATGTAGGTACCACTGTGAAAACAGTCATTGTATGGTTAGAGACTTTTCCCTTAATTTCTGTCCCATGCAGCCAGTTCAGCACCCCAGCTTTCACGTCCTTGAAGAATGAGTGTCCTTATCCTGTGGAAGAGGCTGGCTAAAGACTTGCCTTATGCTTCCTCTCAAAACAGAGCAACCATGCAAAATACAAAGCAAGAGTTACGGGAAGGAAAATGATGATTCTGTACACTGGGACTAGGACTGTCCCCCAAAAGCTGACAGTATGTGTGAAAGAGTGAGGAAGAGTGTGTTAACCTAACCATCTACTCACAGTCTGTTTGTACCCTTGACCCCTTTGCATCCCTTCCAGCTTGAGCTATTCCATGACTCTGTTTTTGAAAGCGTGGAGGGTTGTAGGCTGTTATGCAAAGCCAGGATGCTATAGAAAGCTCTTTCAAGCAGCTTTAAGCATAAGGAGATGACCATAATCTCCCATGCTGCTGTCAAGTGTCCCTACTCCTGTAGCTATCAGCCAGGAGTAAGCCTTCCTGAGTGTTAGTTAAGTAGGATGTGACTCAAGTTCAGGAAAAAGGGTAGCCAGAGCTGTGAGCTGTGTGTGGTTAGGCTTTGTATAATTAGGAAGTACAGATGATTTGCTTTATTACTGTCATGAATCAGCCTTTCACATTTGCTTGATTAGCTTGAATAGGTCGCCATGGTCTGTTCAGAGCTAGGGACTGTTTTGTCTCTAATATGGCAGCATTTCTGACTAGTGCTTCATCCCATAAGATTTTTTTGTTTTCTAGAAATATCTTCATTTATAAGATAAATTGTTCATCTTGGTGTTAACAATGGCAGCACATCATGCTATTTATATAAATGACATTGGCTGTGTATGCCAGCTTGAAGCATGTATTTTGATGCATGATTAACACAAAGGCTGATATTATGGAAAGTTGCTAAATCAGGAGTAGAATCAGAATTAATTTGGTTTAGGTTTATCACTAAGTAAAGTATTTTTTTCAATGTAAATGTCAAACCAAAGCAAAGGGAAAAATACAATAGAATTATTTGCTACATCTTTCATTGTAGTGAGAGAATCCTTTATGCTTAGATAAAAACCTGTGTGCAAAAATCCAACACAGTTTCTTTTTTTGGTTTCTCCTTATCTGCCCACTGCAGTCTAGGAGAGGGTGTTGAGATGGCATCAAGCTCTAGCAATACTTTGTATTTTAGCATTTCTCCATCAGAATGATGGGCGTTCACCCATTTTGGGATCACCCTAAGAAATGTACAGCAGTTATCTTATACTTCAGAAGTTTTATTGCATTAAAAAAGAGAGAACTGGGAAGAGAAATAACTGCATAATATAAATTTGTGTCCCTTCCATTCTTCATCAGAAACAACACCCTCAAACTTGATTTACAGGGGCAAAAGACAAAAACAAGTGACTAGACACAAATTTCTTAACAAAGATTCCTTCCTTTTGGCTGGGGTAGTACTATCCAGAGAGCTTCTCAACATGCTGTATGTATTTTCCCCTCAAGTTTTCCCAATTTTTTTCTCAAGACAAAAAGAAAAACCCATTTTCAGTTGTCTTGCAGGCAGCTGTGCAGTGACAAATAGAAGACATTTTAATCATGGTTATGTGCTTTCTGTGTTTTACCAAGTATTGTCATTCACCCAGGGACGACTGGGCAGCTCCATGTTTTATGTAAAATCTTTGGAAAAGACAGGATTCAAACTTTGATTTGCTCCAGGCTGGAAACAAAAAAAAAAGATACAGCTGTTTGTGGCCAGTTTCTGTGTTCTCCTGTAATTGGACTAACTTCACAGAAGAAAAGAATTCGGTAATTAGTAGAGGAAGATCTATAATTTTGAGAATGTAATGTGAATTGAATGTTAAATGCCATCAAGGATGTTTACTGGTTTTAACTGTGTTTGCCTGGGGATTTACTATGCAAATAATTTAATGAAAAAGTATTATTATTCATACATACACTCAACAAAAATTTATATTCTTTTATTTTTAGTTTTACACCATATTGATACATATACATGTGCAGAATGTATGTGCATGCTTTTAAAATAGTAATTTCTTCATTATTTTCACAGCAAACCCAAGGAACCAATGTTCAGTGCAGGTAGGAACTTTTAAAATTTTTAAGCAGATAGTAATTGTGATTGGATTCGCCCACTAGCCCCCTTTCTTCTGTGGATGCCTAGAAATTGGTGCCTAGAATTGGGAATCTAAACATGATACTTACAGGCTGCTGTTGATATATTATTTAAAAGTTGATCAGTTCACTCTAGATTTTATTAATCCAATATATTTATTTCACAGTTTTGGTAATCTATCTTTAATTTCAAAAGCAATTCAATTTTTTCCAACTTAGGTATTATCTCTGCTGAAAGATTTTGAAAGTGAAATAGTAGGTGTAAGTGAAAGCAGTGTTTGTCCTTGTCATTAGACAGTTAAAATTTTTTAAGAGTTTCAAAAAAAAATATGAAGCTGAGTATTGTATATAACAGTTATTTTTGTTCTGAAAAGTCAACAGCAACTAAAATAAAAATTTATTGTGACAAAATAGGGAAGGGAAGAAGCCCTGTTGATTTATCAGATGTCTTGTATTATTTTTATGCATAGTTCTGTGACAGTAATCATACATTAAGCTGAAAAAGTTGGAGATCTTTTGTTTACTGCATGGATTGATCAGCATCCAACAAAGCTCTTAAGCCATATTTCAAAGTTTAATGCAACTGATTTTGAAGTCAATAATACATGAGATTAAATAAGCACTTAAGTCTCTTGTGACAATATATTCATGGTTCATGTCCCTTCCATGAAAACTGGTGGTTTAGAAAAAGAAAACTTCTGATTTGAACAGAATATGCTTTCCTTGCATATTTCCTTGCTTCCCTTATACCATGTAAAAAAAGGTGTTTATAATATTTTTTCTTCTGCCACTTTTCCCATAGATAGAAGTCAGTAATTAAACAGGTGTGACACTACATTGATGTCCTTCTCACCTAGACAATGAAATGCATATTTTTTCTAAGAAAGCTATACTTGGTATTTTACTTAAGTATATGCTTACATAATGGAATTTAAGCCAGTTTTTAATGGCAGAACCAAACAGAGGCCCCTAACTGAGGAAAGAGGTTTAGAAAGTAATTACCCAGTGTATGGCTGAGTGTTTTGTCAAGCCCCAGGTTAGCCTGCAGCAGACTAAGACTGGACAGCTTATAGAGCAGGTATTTAGAGAGTTATTGTATTCAAACACATCTTTATCTAGCCCTTCTGTCTCTGTCTCTGTAATCACAAGGGAAGCGCCGTGTGACGCACTGCAAAGGTAGGCTTCACTTCCAAAACCTCATAGCTCTCAAAGCAAAATGGTTCTGATGGGATAAAAGACAATATTATATCAGCTCAATATTATACAGCTGTTTTCTAACTTGTATGCATTTTGCAATGTTAAAACTTTTCTAGTTCTTTTGAGTGAAACCAAAATGTTATACCATTATTTATACCATTTATACCATTATGTTATACCATTTATTATACGATCTACTGAATTATAACCCTCAGGTGCACTTTAATCATAATAACGGGTTATAATTTGTATTCCTGTGGACTTATTCCTAAGAATTTGAATTAGAAAAAAGATGTTGAGAGAGCTATATGGCAACATGTGGATGTTCACTGTGTTTGAAATGGCATTCTGCACTTCTGCTGAAATTCGTATAGAATTTGCCCCTTTGTTGGCTGTTTTGCTGTTAGCATAACATGATCATAGAAGCCTTTGTTTTTTCTTGCTTTTTCTTATTAAATAGATTTGTAGATTTTTCTGAATCTTAAACAGACCTAGGCCTACAACTAATTTCTCATTGCTTTTTGCTTAGTGTCATAAAGCAGAGTCACATGTGATAAACATACCATGTTGGTGTCTAAAGCTTTAGTTAAGTTGTAGTGTAAATATGCACATTTTTGATGCATGTTTATATCTGTGATCTAATCACAGATTTGTCTGCTTTTTAGAAATAGCTACAGCCTAACAGTTCTTCCACTAATCACCGTCTTTCAGCTTTGCAATAAATGTGAATTTCACAAAGCAAAAAATGTTTGTTCTCAAGGCAAAGTCTATTAGAGAGTCTCTACCTCTGTGTATTCTTTGTGCAAATTTATACCTGCAATCAGTGGTGGTCTCCTTTGCAGATCCCACTGGCACTGATGCCCATCTTATTTCAGTTCATTAACTGCTCATTTATGCAACAACAATATCAAATTTACAAAACCGCAGATGTAAAAGATACATTTGTCTAAAAGTTTCACTGTTGGTCTGTCTTTGTAGTTTGATGATTGTCTGTCTATACATCTATATCTTTACATTTAGAACTCTATTGTCTTATAAACTTACTTAAGAAAAGTATGAAAAAGAGGAGATTGATTGTGTAGATAATGTATTTGGGTTAGGAACAAAAACTAGTAGAGACAGAATATTACCAGAAGTTAGAAATTAGTACACAATGGGACCTCTATGCCTGACCTAATCAGCCTAAGTTCTTCTTTACAGTTAGGAGAGAGACATACACACATTCTGAAGGCATAATTTATATACTTGTTGTAATACACTTGATATAGTTTACTGGTTAGTATATACTTTCCTAGTCTGGTGTGACTAGGTCAAATGCTCCCACTGTAGATGGTTAAATGCAAGTTTTATGAGTTCTGTAAGCTTCAGGTGAGAAAAACAGCTTGGTGAATTAAACTTTGGTTCATTCACAGCCAGTAGTTGTCATTGCTGAAAATCTGTTTGACTTCCAGTGCACCAGCATCAGCAGTGTTGGCACGTGTTGAAGCTCATTAAATAGATGCTGCATGCGCATACAAATAGTGCTGTAATGCTTTGCTATTTAATGCTCTACCCTCTATTTTATTTTCCAATACAGATATATTGGAGTAGATTTTTAAAACAATTCCAATATTCTATCATTTTTAACAGACATCTTAAACTTCCAACCTTCTGTCACCATTATTTCATCATTATTATTTCTTCTTTTTAGCATTAAGTTTTCTGTTGCTTTCATTTTATGTATTCATTCCGTAAATTGAAGCTAGAGAGACCTAGCTGTAACTTTACTGTGACAGGTCAGGTAGATCTCTTTCCCATATGACTTAGTCTAAAGGCAAAATACACATCTAGTTAAGTAATGCAGCACTGCTGTGATGTTTTTGTTCAATCAATAATTCTTATTAATTTAGTCAGGATTTGTAGCATATGCATATTTCCAATTAAAATAAAGCCTTAGCTTTCAAATTTAAAAAATAGTGGTATATTTGTAATGATACTTAAAAATTCATAGCATAGTTTTAACAGTCCTAAATTGTATATTTTTTTTTCATTTACATGATTTTTGTTACTTTTGCCCTTCCATTTCCTCTGTGCCCACGATTATTCTGTCTAGTAACTCTACAGATGTCACTGACTCCAAAACTGCTTGATTCGCATGCGAACAAGGCTGAACCCCTTGATCTGCCGATGGAGCAGCAAGAGCCAGCACGTTCTGAATCTGGACAAACTTCATCAGAAGTTCACAGGACACCCACTTTGGCCTTGCCACTTCCCAAAAGTCCTAGTCAGACCTTCATGGCATTTCCCAGATCTCCTAGTTTTATAAGCCCCATGAAGTCCCCAAGTCAGTACTTCCAGATCTGTTATTAATCTCTGCTTCTCTGCCCCAAAAATATTTATTGCCAGTTCAACACATTACTTTTAGTATTTTCTTCTAGAAATGTTTACTTCTGTCAGCAAATTAAGTTTTTGTAGCTTCTCTCCTGTATGTCATTTTCCTTTCTTTTAATGTGCTGTCATTGTTGTCATTCTTTTTTCAATGTTTAGTAATTCTTAAAGCACATATCTTTTCTGCATGTACATCAGCATGATTCCTCTTACTAATTGTTTGTGTTCCTTATTTCGAATGTATCTCTAACACTGTATCAAGTGTAAAGCATATCTTTACACTGGGATGCAAAGAATGCGACTGAGTGTTGGAAAATAATTTAGATGCTGATGCTCAACTGTAAATATTGATTAAAAAATAAAATTAATTTTAAGTGGCATTTCTGCGTTAATTGTAATCTTTGATGTATTCCCCTCCATTTTTAATATTTAAAAACCATATTATTGTAACATTTTTTTAAAAATTCAATTTCAGACCTTTCTGTTTTGTAGTTCTTCATGGCATTGTTTAGTTCTAATTCTGCTACTCAAAATATTTAGAGAAAGAAGGGACTTCATATGTTCTTAAAAATTTCTGCTTAGTGATTATGATTTAGGAAAAAAAAACTGATAAATTTCTAAGTTTGAGATTGCATGTCGTTTTATAATTGTAATGCACCAAACTGTTATGTGGGAAGGGATGGAGGAGCACTGGAATTGTCCCCAATGGCTTTTTTGTGTAACATTAAACATTTCTGACCTTTTATAGAGGAAGGATACGTAAAAATGTTTCTTCGTGGACGTCCTGTTACCATGTACATGCCCAAAGAGCAAGTGGAATCTTACAATTTGGAAGCAAAAGTAGAACTACCAGCCAAGAGGCTTAAACTGGAATGGGTGTATCCTTTCTGTGCTGGAGGACTACTGGAAATCAATCATTCCATAATGATTTGGGTTAAATAACTTTTTGAGCCAAAGTAAAGCAGGATTAAGGTCATAGGGTTCATTTAATTGGTGAAGTGACATTCCGTTGAAAATAGGTGTTAAATTCTTCAGGCTGCTGTTCTTCACCTTGTAAAGTACACAGTGGCAGCTTAAGAAAGATTTTGCTTAAATGTTGCCTGAAGGTTAAGTCTGAAGCATGCTAATTAGCCAAAGATTAAACTAGGCATATCATAAGAATGTAGTGAGCTGGGATTATCAATTATAATATGCATAAGACAAGCTCAGGGCTTTTTTTCTAGTTCTTAGCAGTAATTTATTATTTTTAACTGTTTTAAAAAATGTACACCATTGTCCCTAAGAGGATGATACGTTCAACTGGAATAAGCCCTGAATTGAGTAGTGCTGTGCAACTGATACATGCTTAGGCATAAAATTTATAAAATATAATATATAAAATAATATTTGGATTTCTATCTTAAGGGAGCTTAAATACTGAACAACCAGATTTTTCCACTGACTTCTGTGAGTGGACATAATTCAGAAATTTAACTTGAAAGAAATCAGTGTTTCATTACATACAAAAGTTTTCCTATTTCACTTTTAAGTATAATGATAGAATATATTCTTTACTAAAAAGAAGACATTTCACTTTTATGTAATCTTATTATATTTAATTGATGATTCAAGATAAAATATAAACACAAGAAGATCTAAGTTTATTTGTAACATCCATTATCTTTAGAGAGATGATGTCTTCATAAAGTTTTCTCTTTAAAGAAAAATCTCTTCTGGTTGCAGTAAAAATAGGAAATTACTTCGACTTCATAAAAGAATAGTCTTTTTCAAAATTGTATAAATAGAACTGCATGTGGTTTCAGAATGTTCAGAGAGTTTCCAAAAGTCCCTTTGTATTCACAAGAGATTAATGACAGATTTAGTAACCATTCTTATTATTCCTATTGCAGCTGAGGCTGTATGTTCTATCCCATTCTGCTGGAACTGCATAGATAGTGCATGCATAAATAAGTGAAGATGAGTTAAAAAGACAAAAACCCCATAAAAATAATAAAACAGGTGAGATTCCAGTGATAAATGCTGCTTGCAGTATATAATTGTACAGGTTCTCACCATTTATCACAAGAGAATTGAATGATGTCTTTTGCAGTTGTAAGGGGCTCCTCACTCAGGGGCCTAAGGATGATAAGGAGGAAGTGTTAGGAAGCTTTGCTGAAACAACAGAACACCCAGCCATGAAACAGAGCTGAATGTCATTAGCAGCATGTAGGTGGAACTGATGTCAGTATTTCAGACTATTATAAGAAATTATAATTAGAGTAGGTCATGATTCCAGTCTCATTAGTTTCCCACATAAGCTTATTTAAATGACTGAATATTTGCCAGATGGATTATTATTTTTAGTTTGACTATTCATATGTCCTTCCAGGTGTGTATCAGTATACCCAGCAGAATCCTATCTAAGTTTGTATAGGAATAGAAGAGGTGTGAATTAATAAAACAATCTAACTAACCCTAGATGTGTATTCTAAATGGTATTGAGGAGGAGATAGTTTTTTTCTAAAAATACTGTGCTAGCTTCTTCTGTTTCTAATTTATTTGCAATTAAATCCAATCATTATATCCATACTTAATACTTACAGCAATGACTAGGTATATGGAAGGTTTAGAAAGACAATTAAAAAATAATTTTAAAAAGTGAGGGAGAAGGTAATGCCCACTTTACAGACTGTAACAAGGGGAAAAGAAACTGTGAGCAGGAGCATGAGATCATTTCAGAAGAAAGAGAAATACAGCAGAAAACCAAGCAATATTGCAGGCATTCATTTCAGTTGAGTTAGAGAAGCTGCACTGTTTGATTGGAGGGTAACGGAACTGGAATAGGAAAAAATATCTTTGTGACAGACAAATGAGTCCAGCTGTGGGAGTACAGCCAGAAATGCTCTATAATGCAAGAATGGGGATAGGGAAACAAGATATTGGAGGTGGTGTGGACAAATGGAAAGGAAAGCAGAGTATGATGAGAAACAGCAGGAAGAAAATCTAATGTGTACAGATTTCAGGGCATACCAGAACCATAAAGGGTTATTGCAGTCACATTAGCAGCTGTCTGGGTAAGCTGAAAAAGGTTCACACCTTTGATATATTATCATATATATTAGGACATGGAGAAACAAAAACACTGAGTGATAAAGTGTGAGGGGGGTCTGGAGCAGAGGTGGAAAATCCAAGTGAGAAATCAGCACTAGGGACATCAGGGTGGGAGCAGTGGCCTTCCCAGGTCCATTTGAGAGCAACTCACTTGGCAAGCGGGAGGTTTGAAACAAAAACTGCAGGCCAAATGAAAAGAAAAGGTCAAGGTAACACTCCCTGAAGTGCCAGCTCACCAAATCCAAGACGAAGCCACCAAATCCGAGTGTGGGAAACAGTGAGGAGAAGGAGGGATCAACCCCAGGAGTTTGCATTTGAGAAAAAAGGCTAATAGAAAGAAATTGAGTGTTTGACAACAGCAGTCATGTGAAAGGTTGAATGCAGCATTGTTCCCCACAGGAAGAATAGTAAAGAAAGGAGATTTTCCCTAAAGAATGTAATCTTTCCCATTTAATGGCTATTTTTGTGCACTGAGATTTGTTACTTATGCATGTTTGTGTAATGTTCTCCACTTTTGTTAGAAGTTCAATTCCTTACACTAACTTCAACTGCTGGTTCACTATAAATTTGATTATTTGTTGTTGAACTAGGGAAATATTATGTTGGCTTCAATTCATAATGCTATCTGGCCTTAGAGAGAAAAATAAATTTAAACAAATAAATAATTGTCCAGCAATTTAGAGTAGTGACACCAACCACTGCAGACAGACTCAAATTGATAGTAAATTCTTTGTAATTGAAGATATTGATTGTTTCAATGTCATCACACTTTAATATCTCAAAAAACTTTGGCTGAGGTGTTTCAGTTTATGAGACTAAAAGCTCTACTTCTGAATTCACACTTCATTAATTGGATATGCAGCACTAGTTCTGTTGCATTTATAAGAAAAAATCAGGAAGCTGTTTCTTCTAAAATAGATATTTATATAGGATAACTATTGACCTTATTAATTCAACAATGTTAACATGATTATTTTAGTTTGAGTGGCTTATCATTGACCATCCAGAATAGTGCACACATATCTTGTTTAGATAACATAATTGGGGTTTCATTATCTGCCCGTATATTTTTCACAGCTAGTTCCTCCATACTGACTCCATTAGAATGCACTTCTGTTTTGCCAAGATTCTGCTAATGCTGTTTCTTTCTGTTTCCATAAAAAAAAGAAAGCCAAAATAGTTGTAGTCCCTAATGACTCTTCAGAAGAATAAAACTACAAAATTTGGCTGATTTAACATTCAGTCTAAATGAGATTATTATTCCAGTCATTTCATTGAATTAATTTTATATTCATATTCATATGACTACCTTCAGAATCTGGGCCACTGCCTTTTGAATACTACAAAAATAAATTGGAATGGATGATGTAACCCTTTTACGGTTTTTATCCATTTGACTGGTCATGTCCACATTAATGAAATGAATCAACCCACACACAGGATAATGCAATCAATCCTCGTGTAGTTCAGGGAGATATGCTGAGTGACTTATTAGTGTTTCTATCAAGTCTAATTTTCTATTTTAATTAGTCAAGCAGTGTAAATAATAAATACACCTGGGACAAAACTAGCATTGCCTTTATCTGGTATTTAGCAAATTCTAGAGGATGCTAAAGGAATGGTACATCTGCAAATTCTCCTATCCTTTGCTATGCATTTTCTGTAGGATATGCAGGTTTTAAAGTCTGAAGTGCTTCAACTCTCTACTGTACTAAGGGAAAGAGTTCTGAATGTTGTCAAGTAATAAAGCTGTGCTCAAGCCAAGAGACAAAGACTCTAGGACAGAGATTACAGACGACAAGGACAGAGAATCTTTTTTTTTTTTTTTTTTCCTTGTTTTTAACATTCTTCATGGGTAGATGATGTTATTCAGCCTGACCAACAGTCTAGCTATGGCTATAGGGGCCGGGACTGCCGCAGCAATCTCTATCTCCTGCCGACGGGCGAGACCGTGTACTTCATCGCCTCTGTGGTTGTGCTGTTCAACGTCGAAGAGCAGCTTCAGAGACATTACACTGGTCATAATGATGATGTGAAGTGGTAAGTCATCTAATAGCAGTTCTTTTTCTCTTCATAAAACAGTAATTGAGATAGAGTCACTCATTTTCCTTACTCTTCTTTTAGGATGATTAAACATTATCATCTTGCTTAGACTCTTCTCCTTTAGAATCTTATCCTTGCCTTTTTTAAGTAGGGTTGAATTATTGCCCTTCACCAGGGCTTGGGTGCCCTGTACAGTTCCTTTAGGTTCAACCTAACCAGCAAAATAGTTGTAATTTCACCTGTGGCTTTCCTGGTAGTCCTCAGGTGTGCTGTCCCCATGGTAGATAGCCTGTAAACTAGACCTGGTTTGTTTGCTGCCATGCACACATGCCAGATTGAGCTTCAAAGTGATTTAAGTGTGTTGAAGATCAGAGGATACTAGATACCAGCAAATATCAGAATCATTAAACTGAAATCTAAATAAACATATGGTTTATCTTGATTATATCAGTCTATTTGCACAGTGTAGCTGAAAAGGAGCACCTGGATTATCTGATGGGCCCTAATGTACGAAATGAGTTTGACATCCCTTCTTTAGATTAGGCATTATGAAACACCCATTATCCCTCAAAGCCAAAAATAGGCCTGATAACCAAATCTGCTTGAATTATGAATATGTTTCATAAATTGAATTATTAGTATAATCTGGTTGTTTTACAAGGAGATTTTTACGTTGGACCTGTTCCATCTCATTTCCTTCTTTCAGATTTTCTGTCTCTAGATATTTCAAAGCTATCAGGTTTACTGGAAAGAGGATGCCTTTCTCGTTTGTAAAGCTAAATGAATTATTGCCACAGTTCATTTTGTAGGCTACTTGGCCTCTAGAATGGCATACAAAGCAGATGCAGTGAAAAAAGAATTCAGAGGATTTTAAAATACAAGAGCATAACAATTGTTTTGTCAGTTCTGGTTTTATATCCTTAAAAAGTTTATACGTATGCTGTGTGCTTTATATGACTAAAACAAGGCTATTTATTTCAAGCTCAAGTAATAGCTTGTTGAAATGGATAGTCAACAGATTAAGGTTTGGCCTCTTCTTTTCTTTTGTAGCCTGGCTGTTCATCCTGATAGGATCACTATAGCAACAGGTCAAGTTGCAGGGACATCCAAGGATGGGAAAGTAAGTGGCTTCTTTACTGATGTATAATTGTTTATATTTCATAAGAATATGTTATTAAGATACATGCTGTATTCTCTTCCTACTGTAATTGGTCTTACATTTTTGGACTGAACAGAAGCAAAACTCAGTTTGAGAGTTCCTATTGCACACTATCAATTTTTAGTTTCCCAATTTCATTATGAAAACCGGTCAATGGTTTCTGGTTCCATGACTTAGGCTGAAGGTAAATTTGGAGCTGGTCTCTGAGAGACATGGAGGGATAAGGCTGCAAAGGAGACCTGAGAGGGTGGATGGATGTGGAGTTAAGGGGGACATTAAATTGTACAGTATACAACTTCATTTTTGATCACAGCCACCAAAACCAAACTACAAAGAATGGGTTTGGGTTGTTTGCTGGAAAAAAATAAACTTTTACTCTTGCCATCATCTGGGCAAGAATATTTTTCTCTCTATTGCCACCTGTATTATTGTAAACTTAACCATAAGCTGGGACTTTATCTGAACAGAGTGAAATGAACATTGCTCCAAAGAGCTAACAAAAGGGAAAAAGAATGGGAACAAGCACAAGCAGTAAAAGCCATGAGGAAAAGGTTACTCAACAGAGTAACTGTCACAACCAAACTATTGCAAACTTTTAGTCAGACGCCAAAGAATTTTGGGATAAAATCTGGATTATCAATATGCTGACTACTTTGTGTGTCATGATTTAACTCCAGTCAGCAAAAAAGTACCACACAGCCACTCATCCACCCCCACCACCCCTCAGTGGGATGTGGAGGAGGACTGGAAAAAGGACAAACCCTGTGGTTTGAAATAAGAACAGTTGTTATTATGATTAAATTTTAATTGAATTATAATACCAACAATAAAGACAACAAAAAAGACAAATAAGAGCCAAGAAATTATGGACATTGCAGTGGCTCATCACTCACTGACTGAAGGCCAGCTCATCCCCCAGCACAAATTGGCCTCTCCTGTCCAGCTCCCCAGGTTACGTACTGGCCATGGTGTTCTATAGTTTGGAATATCCCTTTGGACAGTTCAGATCAGCTGTCTGGACCATGCTGCCTCCTGGCTTCACACGCTGCTCCTTACTGTCAGAGCATGGGAAACTGAAGAGCCCTTGACTTAGGGTAAGCATGGCTCAGTAACAGCCAAAACATCTGTGTTATCGACATTATTCTTGTCCAAAACACAGCACCAGCTACTCAAAAGAAAATTAACTCTCTCCCAGTCAAAACCAGAACAGTGAAAAAAAAAAAAGAAATATCAGTTATGCAATATAGGTTTATATAAAGATAACTTAGCTGAGTAATGTAAACTATTAATTTTTATTATGTGTTGGATCTTTTCTTTACTTACCATTGTATTTATGAAATAAAACCTAAAAGTTTGACGTCTGTGCTTGAGTGGAATGTGATATATAAGTATATGAAAGCCGCTTATATAACAGATACTGTTGTGGCCTTTAGACTTTTTAATATATATTTATTTTTGTTAAAGAACAATTTATAATTGTCGTACGATTGTATAAGACTGAACTAAATTAACCAAATTACCCTGACTGCGAGCGAGGGACTCCACCAGCTGCCCGGGGCTGCCCCCTGGTGGCCGTGGGAGGCATCGCGGGGCTCCCGGAGCCAAAGGCGGAGGGAGGGGAGGGATGGAGGGAGGGGAGGGATGGAGGGAGGGGAGGGATGCAGGGGGGGGGACCCCGGGGCGTTCACAGGGAGCTGATCTGGGGCCAGGATGTACATCTGGAATTTTATTTACAAAAAGCAGTCTCGTTCTGATTACAGTTGTAAAGAAGAGTTTGAGCATAAAGTTATTTTCCCCAGCCATTTTTATCATGTTGAAATGAATTACATTTTAAAAATTCCTGAGTTTCTTTTCACACTTTTACCTTTTACATTAACCAGAGTTATCTCAGTTGGTGCAGTTTAAACTCCTCCTGGGCTTACCAGTAAATCCCATGTCACAAAGTCATGAACAATTTTCAGTTGTTCTCAGTGGCCATGAACTTCAGTGCACAGGCTGAGATCAGTGAGATCTGATGTGCTGTACACTCTGGATAGTCAGTCCCAGATACTGGTCCTAGGCACAGTAATCAGCAAACCATTTGTAAAGTATCTGTGCTTACATGGGTGACTCGCGAGAAGTTCTGATAATTTTTATACCTTCAATTGTGATTTTTTTTTTTCAGATGCATTCTGGTTTTTTCAAATCTTGATGGGTTTTCTCCATCATTGTTTGAGCTGATGTTTTCTGTGTCTGTTTTATAGCAATTGCCACCACACGTGCGTGTCTGGGATTCTGTAACTCTGAACACACTTCATGTCATTGGAATGGGGTTTTTTGACCGAGCTGTCACTTGTATTGCTTTTTCTAAATCTGTAAGTAAAGTAAATGAATAGTCATATTAAGACTGTTTGCTGGAAAGATCTTTGAAATCTTTCAAATTTAGGTGACCAAAACAAACTTCCAAGCTGTCTTTTCTCTCAGATTTCTCTTTAGAGGAGGAAAGATTGCAGCCCAGTTGTTTCCAACAGTTTAGGTTGCTATTAAAGTTAACAATATCTCAGCATTCTGAGATTTACCCTGTTGTTAAAATAAAGTGCAATTAATTTCTTTGACAGTGCAAAAATACTTATGTACTTGAAATTTCAGCATCCCTAGTTTTCTTGAATCATGCTATTCTGTTTCTCCCTGCATAAGAAATTTACTCTCTCTGCATCTTTTAACCCTCTCACTGTGTCCAAAGTGATTGATGAAAGACTTTTTAAAAACAGAGGCTCCCATAGAAGAATCAAAATCTTTTGCTAAAAGGCAGGAAAGTTATCCTTTGAACTCTAATCTGTCAGAGAGATAAAGGAAATATTTATATGCTGATCTAGGCAGCATTTGAGTCCCATATAAAAACTTGAGTCTGTGACCTGATACAAGGTTGCAAAGCCTCCTGTATACAACAGAATCCGTATGTGGTGCTGTCTGGTTGTCCTGACAGCATTTTTAGATAGGAGAGGACTACCTGGTGTATTCCCTAGGCAAAATTTACTCCAGTGAATTCACTTGAAATCCATTGATAACTATGTTTATAGAAAGTAGAAAAGAGAGGGCTGTATTGGGAGAACTTGTTAAGGGTACAAAGGTGAAAGCTAACACAGCTTGACATCAACTTTGAAGGATAAGTAAAAAGGATTAATAAGCAAATGCTCTGTAAATACCCCTCTGAAGGGAAATAAATACATAATAACAGAGGAGCACTATTGGCATTTGGCAGACAAAAGCCAGTATTTAATGTTTGCTTTGTAATTTCATTCAGAGCTTTGCCTGCTCTGAGCATCACTTCCCACTCAGTAGCAGCATTTTTCTCACTTTAGAATGGCCCTCTCTTCAGGTTTCTTAGTCCTGCCTCTGCCCTACCTCATGGGTTACTTCTGCACAGTTTTTGTAGTTGTGATGTGTGTTGTGGGCCTGAAGAATGAAGAAAGAATGAAGGAATTAGGGTAATTAGGATTAGAAAGAGTGATAAACGTTGTAACTATAAAAAAGATACCTGTCAAGAATAAGTTATTTTCTAATTCCTTACTGTGTTTTCTGATTTTGGTCCATTATACAAATATGAACAATAAAATTGTTTCCTAATTAACAGACATCTGAGAAGAAATAATTGGTTTAAGTTGCAAAGAAAGAAATCCAGTATAGTTATCAGGAAAAGCTTTCTTAATAAAATAGGTAATGATGTTTGACTTTGAAACATCAAGTAGTAGTTTGACTTTGGAATTTCCACTGCTGAATATTTGTAAAGAGATACCTACCCTGTTCCTGACCCTTATCTGCAGTTTGCAACAGTTCCTCTTCTAGGCCCCTTTTTAGCATGACCCTATAAATTATATTTTATGGAGATCTGACTACAAGTATAACAGTTGAAGTGTGAATATGTGTAAATATCTCCACTTACCCGTAAGTGTTTCCTTATTTTGAATGTGTATTTATATGTTTCTCTGTTGGTTGGGTGATGCATTGATATTTCCCATGTTTTGCCCCAGAATGGAGGAAGTAGCCTGTGCTCTGTGGATGACTCCAATGACCATGTGCTTTCAGTGTGGGACTGGCAGAAAGAAGAAAAGCTGGCAGATGTCAAGGTGTTGCAATAAGATATTTTGTACTACTTGCTTGTATGTAGATCTGGTTTCTCATAATAAAGTGTCTTTCTGTATTTAACCTTTTGTGCCCTTTTAACACTTTCACTGTACAAAAGGCAAGGAACATGAAGAAAGGAAATATTTCCTCTCTGTTAAGATTATCCCAATAGTTTTGGATTTTTTAAAATTTTACTGTTGTTGTCATTCTAGAATTGATTAGAAAATTCTAGGCAGTAATGATAGGAGCATGTGCAGGAAAAATGTCTAAACTAAACTTTTGCTTAAAAGTGCTCATTATGTGACATGATTTTTAAGGATACATTTTGATACTAACTTATAAATACATAACATTTTTTACTAAAATGTATTCCAGTCAATGTTAGTAAATGAATAGCTCAGAATTATTCTTATATCAGAAGTGTCCGTTTACCTAACTAGAGAACTGTATAATATTGTTTCCTGTCCTTTGCATTTTAGATTTTGATACAATGTTTTTCTTTTTCCTTCCAAGTGCTCTAATGAGGCTGTATTTGCTGCAGATTTTCACCCTACTGATACAAATATAATAGTTACTTGTGGAAAATCACACCTTTATTTTTGGACACTAGAAGGGAATTCCCTCATTAAAAAGCAAGGATTATTTGAGGTAAAATAAAATATTTCTCTAATTTTATGTTTATAGTAATGATACAGTCATACAGAAATAAGGTTTGAGTAAATCAAAAGAAGCGTTCATTATTAAACTCACAATGTTGCAGAAGTTCAGTTTTCCATGGGTAAAACTTCCTCACTGAAATTTTGAAATGCAATTACCCATTGTTCATTCCTTTTATTCTTTTTCCTGTATTCTTTTTGCTACACACCCCCAGCCTCCCAGCCACAACCTGTGCAAATTAAAATTACCTTAAAACTCTCTATGATTAACTCAAGTTTAAAAAAATAAAAAAAAAAAAATAAGAAGAGAGTGATGGAGGAGATTTTTATTTTGTGAAAGACGAATTTTCTTCCCTTTTCCTCTCTTCTGCTCAGACACATGCACATATGTCATTCAAATACAGATTGAGCTGGACACTATTTGGTAAATATCATTTTCATTCCAAGGTTTTGATTTGGTTTTGTTCTTGAATATAGACTAAGCTGTACAGCATTTGCACACACAACTGAGGGATGTTTGCAGTGACTGCAGATAACTCCAGTGAGTGCTCCCAAGGATAGTCAGAACAAATATTTACAATGTCAGTTAATATACTTGGTGTGAAATCAGCAGGAGATGGTGAGAGAATGCATTTAAATTTTGTTACATTTTATTTTTCATGCATTTTAAATGGATTTTTCTGCCTCTTCTAGCTCTGTTGGTGTTGATGATGGTTAAGCTGAAAAGGGTGGTGGTCCTAGCATAGAACAGCTCTTAGTTTGGAGGAGAAAGAGATCATACACATAGGTCCATAAGGAATATATAATGTCCTTAGAAGCTACCAGTGGTGTTTTTGATCCCTTACACATTTATTGTTTTGTTGCTGTCAATGTCTTAAATGCAGGAGTTTCATTACTGAAACTTGGGCTTCTTTCAAGAGATGATTCCTTAATTCTTACACTATGGCCAAACCCTCTAGTAATATTATTTTTTTCTCCTAGAAACTTTGGAGTTTAGAATTATAATAATAAAGCTTTGTTGAAACTTTTTCCACTTCTAAATACTGCAAGTCTTTGGCATTCTGCAGCAGCTGGGGATTTGGTTTATCTCAGAGCAGTCCTGGTCATGTGTTACATGTTAGCAGGGCTTCTCACTCTCTCTGTCCCCAGCTTGTAATTAAAGGGGCAGGATTGGGCCACAAGCCTCAGCTGATGCCTCTTCTGCCCTTGCACAGATTATTCTGTTTAGGCTGTAGGAATATGTTTAACTCTTGTAGATTTTTAAGTGATAATAGAGCTGTATAAGAGTAAACTAAATTAACCAAATGCATAAAGTTAAAATCCATGGGTTGTATGTTGCTGTGAGTGTATATTTTTCATAACCATGCAGAAACAAGAGAAGCCAAAGTTTGTCCTGTGTGTGACCTTTTCTGAAAATGGTGATACTATTACAGGAGACTCAAGTGGAAACATTTTGGTTTGGGGGAAAGGTAAGATAAAATTTCACTATTGACCTCCATCTTAGTATTAGACTGTGAGTGTTGACTTGAGTGTAAAGCTTCATTTCAAGAAGAATAAATTTTATCTTGAGCTCTTTCCCAAAACCAATCCAGCATATTGTGCCTGGATTCTTTTCTACAAGAAGTTGAGACTATCTGTACCTAACTGCTAAAGCACAAAATTCCATTGAATGTGTTCCCTGTGGTCAAATACTGAATCACAGAGCCATGCCAGCATGTGGGGCTTTTACTGATGTAAGAGATGCCAAGAAAGGTTCTTTCTTTAATCACTGTACAGCAAAAAAATTGTTTATGTAATTAATGATCTCCAGTCTCCTATCCCGTATCTCTCTACTCTTTACAGAAATTATGGCTATTGACACACACTTTTAAAAAGACAAAAAATAGCAGTATTTGTTTTCCTAGAAAGTCAAGCTAAAATGTTTTCAGATCTAAATGAATTCCTCATCTTTATTCCAGAAGAACAGATGGATAGGAAGAACTTCTTAAAAAGCATTTTCTAGTAAGAAGAAACCTTTTTTTAGGCAGCAGAAGGCAATGCCAGAGGGCAAACAGCAGCAATATCCTAAACGTGTACTTACTTAGTGTCTGATATGCCATGCATAGGAATAAGGAGAATCCCTTAAAGGAGGCCTTGTTAGTAAAGGAAGAAGGGATATGGATGACAGCTTTTTCCCTATTTACTCAGTGCTTTCTCCCGAGATACTACTCAAAGGGATAAGACCCTGAAAACAATACAATGCATTAGTTATACAGTTGAGCCTTACTGAGTTGTTTCTGTAGATTTCTTTTTCAGCCAAGGACTGTCAACTAATAATCTCCTTGGCCAGTACACTGCTGGGGACAGGGGTGGCTATGGTGTTTGTAACTTGGCTTCTCATTTATTTCCCTTTCCTTTTTCCTACGGTAATTTATAGCAAGGCACTTCAACACTTTTCCTTCTAAACTGACTTTAGAAATTGCACTGTCCCATGTCCCTGTTCTTTGTTGTTATTTTCGACTGCCAGCAGACGAGGGAGACAGGGACAGTGCACTGCTCAGGGGCCAGTTTGCCATCATGCTGGTAGACCAGTTTCTGCCTTGACTGCAAGCAGCCTCTTCTGCCTTTTCTCCCAGCAATAAAAGGGAATTCTCTGTGTGCTCAAGATCTCAACTTCTGCCAGCTTCTTTAGGGCTGGACAAAAAATGTTTTTCTTGTTTTTCTGTCTCAGTACAGTGTACTTGCTCTGCCTTCACTACCTTTGACTCAGAGCTCTATGTGCAAGAGAGGGCTGCTTCCACCAGGTCAGAGTACCCTTAGCAAAGACTTCTCTTAATAGAAATCAGTTGTGCCTGATACATTATATCCATAGACGTGGATGAAGGAAAAGGCAATTGGTTTTTCCTAACTTCCATCAGCCCCTCACTTGTGCTAAACATCAAGTTAGCCAAGCTTTGATGCACAGTGCACATTTCAGTAATAGAATCACCAGTAATCATTTATTTGTACTTCATAATAGTAATGATTCACCAAATTAGAGATGCTTATGTAGTTGGTTTTGACAGTGCTGAGTCTAAGAAACTACTTGAACAAGCCAAGTTCATGAGTAAAGAAGTACAGGCTCTTCTGGAGAATGATCATCACATTCTGCCAGATATACAAGGACCTCTAGCTTAGTCAGATTTTGGTACAAGTTCAGGAACTGGAGGCTGTAGAATATCTTATAACTGGAGGATAAAGGTGAGTGGGTTATGGGTTTTTGCTGATAAGGCGTGTAGTGCTACTGCAGGTCAAATGTGATGTCAAATAATTTTGCTTAGACCCCCTTGAAAGATTTAAGTGAACCTACTTTATTTTGTTCTTGGCCTGGACTGAGTATGTATATTTTCATTTTTGAGGTGGGGAGAATGTAAAATCATAAAATGTACTAATTCAGCCTCTTCTGTGGGTCTGTGTGTTTTGGTCCAGCACCCCATGTCCACTGTTATCATTGTTTAAATGCAATCCTTGAGAGATAGTAGAGGAATGGAGGAAACAAATGGGGGGAAAGGAGCTCTTAAGCTGAGTATTTTAGTAATAATGCCTTTTTTTCTTCTATTCAGGTACCAACAGAATAAGCCACGCAATTCAAGGAGCACACGAGGGTGGAATATTTGCACTGTGTATGCTGCGAGATGGCACGTTGGTATCAGGAGGTGGAAAAGACCGAAAGCTGATATCTTGGAATGGAAACTACCAAAAAATTCACAAAACTGAGGTGATATTGCCTATCTTGAAATTACTGTGCTACTTAAAATAAAATCCTATTGTCCTCTGAGAAGCTTTTTTGAGATTTTTTTTTTTCCTTATGGATATGTATTCTATGAGAAAGTAAATTAGTGGTAAAAGACAGTATTTTCTTGTGCTGAGTTGGAAGGGACCCATCAAGATGATCGAGTCCAACTCCTGGCCTGCACAGGACTCCTGAGTTTTCAGTCCTCAGGTCATTCCTGTTATTGCCTATTCATTAACATAATATTTCCGTTCTAAGGTCTGTGGTAACTGGAAGAAGATCTTGTGTATCTTTCCATATTATTTCTTCCTTTCTTTGCATTTAATAATGTGAGGTAATGTTTAAGTTCAGAGTATTACAGTATTGAAATGGTCTTACACATTCCTCTTTCCCAAAATGATGTCAGGATTTTTTTTAGGGATTAAATACTTAAAGTTTTAAATTTATTTCTTGGTTGATGTTGTTGTTTTTAAAATGTAATTTAAACAAAATTTGAAAATGCTATGTAGGAACTTAGAAGATTAAAGCAGAATTTGTTTGGACAGAACTACTTTGACTGTTAACATACTGAATGTAAGAGAAGAAATAGTAGAAAAGTCTGAGGAAGGGTTTCAACTGTATTATATAATATTAAATAATAATTAAATAGTCATACTATATCATAATAATGATACTATTTAATATTGCAAATATATATGCAACTGACATGCCTCTTTTTGTAATTCAGTTTTTAACACAGTACAAGGGACATGTTTGTTGTGCTGTTTCTAACTGTGGTGTCCTTCTTTTTCTCTTATTTGTTCATATTCTGGTATTCCTTGTTATTTCACATCTTTATTTTAGAGATTAGCACTGGCTCTTTCAGAGCCTAGGCTGCAATTCATTCCAAGAAAATGCTTTGAGTAGAAATGCTTAGTCTGATATCACAGCTGCAATTAGATACTATTGAATTAACACAGCATGAAGGAATCTTTTGTGTTTCTTGAAATATTTGGTTTTTCTGAGTATTCTGTAGATAAGAATGTCTTGTCTTGCAGTGTTATAGAAGTTATTGAGCTGATGCAAGTTGTTATAAAGTTTCGCAAGATTGGCACATGTACTAATTTATTTCATTTCTTTGCTGTGCAATATTTATTAAAACACATTTACTACTTTAAAAGTGGCAATACCTGATAAATTGTCTGACTTATCTATCCTTTTGTCTGTTATGAACACAGATTCCAGAGCAGTTTGGTCCAATAAGAACAGTTGCAGAGGGAAAAGGGGACGTTGTATTAATAGGAACCACCAGAAACTTCGTCCTACAGGGCACGCTGTCAGGAGACTTTTTCCCAATTACCCAGGTAAGCTGGGTTTCCTTACAAGAACACTTCTAAGTGTGTAAGAGCAGTAAATATCCTGTTTAAAGTTAATTTTCATAAATATGCATCTGATTTATTATTACAGTACTTTCAGCAAAAATAATAATTATAATTATGTATCTATCTAGATGTAACGTATTTTTTGAATATTTTATTATATAGTTTGGCCATTTTAACACTATTTAAACATGTTTAGTTTGATTGCCTAAACCTTCTTTTCTAAAAACATCTCTGCTTGTGTAGGGCCACACCGATGAGCTTTGGGGACTTGCAGTCCATTCCTCTAAGCCTCAGTTCTTCACATGTGGACATGACAAACACATTACACTCTGGGATGCAACCACTCACCATCCCATCTGGAACAAGATTATAGAGGTAAAAATTTATTAATTACAGTTACATAAATGCTCCTGTTACAGAAATTCTCTAGTCATTTTGGTTTTTCTTATGATTATTGTTTAAAAATTCCTTAAAGTATTAACTTGTGGGGAAAAGATCATTTCATGTTAACCTATTTTTGTCATAGAGATTAATATAAAAGCTTTTTAATGGAGCTGTTCTGAGTACAAGTTAGATTAAATGCACTGTTTGAACCTCTGGTTTATTCAATGAAATATCTTTGCATTGGCTATGAAATTGTATTTTAAAAACATTAGGAAATTTTCCTCTCTCGAATGCTGTAGTGTTTCAGAAGCTGTGCATGGAAATCCTGGATCTTAACAATTCTCTGAAATTTTCTTTAGAGTTAGTAATTCTTTTAGATTGGTCACTTGTTTATAATTAATGAGAAAATCCTTTCCACCTAGCCTCTAGGGCTAGTAATTTTCAATTACTAAAAATGTCAGCAGGTTTACTGAAAGAGCTACAATGTGATACTGTTTTAAAATACAGAAAAATAAGGACACAAACATTTCCATGAGATAGATCACTGGGCTGTTTTTTTTTGCTTACATTTTAAAATTATTTTTTAATGGTATGAGCGGGTAAAAAAAGCTATACTGGTATTTTCTTCTATAACTTGAAAAGTTCTGGACCTCATTCTTTGTAACTGGACAAGTATTAGAAAGAAAATGCTTACCTTGTTTTTAGGCATATGTTTAAATTGCAAGAAAAACACTAGAGTTTTACAAGGTAAGATGTTTTAAAATAGCATATCCAAATAAGAAACCCTAAATCTCCCACTGAACTGCAGCTTAGCAGGTGCTGGAAAAAGGTGTTGGTGTGTGTAGGAGTTAGGCTTTAGCCCTTCTGCAAAGTGCCACGTACCTTTGTTGAGTAAGGGACTTGCTTGTCCTTCAGACTCTCAGTAAACTGCAGCTTTGAAGCTTAATTCTGAGGTCAGCTCTCGTTTAAGAAGTTATTTTTATCTCTTATTTCTTTGTGATTTGTTGAGAAGCTGCCATTGCCAATGTTATTGTTATGAAATCACTTGCCAAATTATTTTTAGAGAGTAAAGAAAAGACAAGAGTGGCCTTGTATAGAGGGAAAAATAAGTTAATTATATAGTATTTAAATTAGTGAAAAATGCTTTTTTACGCTTCAAGTTTATACTGAAAGAGAAAAAACTACCCCTTAAAATCAACAAGATAGTTTTACTGTGTTTCAGAGTCAAATAATTGAATTGTATATTTGTTATAACTTGATAACATGGACTGGTAAAAAAGCATGCTTCTTTCTGAAACATTGCAGGATCCAGCACAGTCTTCAGGTTTTCATCCTTCAGCATCTGTTGTTGCAGTAGGGACACTAACTGGAAGGTAAGAGGTGCAGAGCTACACCTTGGGCACAAAAAAACATCTCACATCCAAGCTCATGTTCTGACTTTGCAGATGTATGCAATGGCACATCTCCATTCCCTATTGATTTCTACTGAATGTCACAGTGAAATTTATTTGTATTGCCTTAGTGCCTAGAAACTCCAGGCTTGGGCCAGCAGCCTGTGCTTGCTGAGTGCTGCATGAACAAAGAGATGGTTTCTGCCCTGGGAGAGAGACAGAGTGGGATCAGTAGGAGGAGGACATTTAGAGAGGGCAGGAACTCTAGCTCAGCTGCAATACCAGGCACGTCACCCTACCAGTGACCTAAATGTTAAATCTTTGTGTCCACTGGGAAAAAGGAGAGGCTAAAGGAGGAGTCGGATGTAGTGGAGGGAGATTTCCTCCAAGGCCTTTAGGACTGCATGGAGGAAATCGCATAGAAAAATTCTGCGAGTTGGAAAATGCAGCAAGTGGTTCATGATCCCTAATGCAGTGACAACCAGAGGCTTTAAAAAATTTGGCAAATTTTCCACTGTGCTAGACATTGTGTAAAAATGCACATTAAGAGACTTGTTCTGCTTGCAGAGTGTGAGGGATGAACAGGGCAGAGGAAACTGAGGTGCAGGAGAGTATTTTAGGCAGCAGGCTGAGCCCTTGGTGACATCAGCGACAGCTGCTGGGTTTATCTGTGGTTGTCTCTCATTGGAGGGACTGCCTTTGCCTAACTTCTCCCTCTCCTTTAATGTCACTTGAGGGCAGGCTTGGCTGTTAGTACTGAAAACAGTTCCAGTTCACTGAGAACATACAGGAAGCTTGTAGATTATGAGCAAGCCTATTTCAGATTTTATGTCGGCCCTAAATAGAGGACTTATTTTGTTACTGAATGTACGTTATAAAACAGAAGAAGAAATTTTGAGAGGAATCTTCTCTTTGTCTTTAATCTGATGCAAGTATTGAAATGCAAATTTTATCTTTGTCCTTTCTACACGTGTCCACAAACTAATTTTTTGTTCATTAAAATTAATCAATTAAATTACACTGCTGAAAAAATAATGAATTTATTCACTTTAAAATAAATTAATTCATCTCTTTCTCCTATCAGAAGAGAATGGTCCTAATGCTTGCTTGTGTTTTCCTTTGCTCTAGGATTTAATGCAGGCATCAATTTAAATATCAGCATAGCATAGAGGAAGGTCTTTAAAGGAGGACATCACAACAATGCTTACTTTATTCTTATGCATGACATACTAAAACACACTAAAATCTGAAGACTGATATTGGGGTCAATGCCTGAGCATTTTTACAGTTAAGAAAGATGTGAAAGAAACAATCCTTGTGTTAAAGTAAAAATACACCAAATTGAGTGGCAGTTGCTGTTTTTCTCTTGTTGGTAAAAAACTTATGCTATTTTGACAGAAGAAAAGTTGGTCAAGATTACAGTAGATTTAAATTCCTTATGGAATGATTTATTGGCCTCTTTCTGTGCTTACAACAGGTGGTTTGTGTTTGACACAGAAACAAAAGACTTGGTCACTGTACACACAGATGGAAACGAACAGCTGTCTGTAATGCGTTACTCACCAGGTTTGAGAGCATTTATTTACTGGGGGGGGAAAAAAGGCATTGAAATTTTTTATTAAATTAGGGGTTGGCTTGTTTTAAAATAAGTCCCTTCTTGCCACACTGAAATTGAAAATAAGTGTGCCATGAAACATTATCAGGACTTTATGGGTGGTGTCTTAAGCTCTGGTTTTGTTTTCCCTCCATCCCCAACATGTTCAATATGGTTTCACTGCAAAGAAGGGGGAAAAAAAGACTTAACTTTGTTGGTTGTTGCAATCAGGTTAGCCCTAAATGGACTGTAGCTGCTTCCAAAAATATAATGTGTTGTTAACACTTATATTTGTTATGTCAAATTGCTGTTTTGTAGTCTTGATAGATAAGTCACTATGCAACTGGAAAATTAAAATTTCATTTATTCATTTTTCAGTATCAAGGCCTTTAAGAACAGTTTCTCTTGTCTGTGACTTTTCAAACAAACTTTTCAAATTTGCCTAAGTTCTTTCTTACAGGAATAATTGCAATATCACTTTTGTGTTTATAGATGGAAACTTCTTGGCAATCGGTTCCCATGACAACTGTATTTATATATATGGTGTAAGTGAAAATGGAAGAAAGTACACTAGAATTGGCAAATGTTCAGTAAGTAACCTTCTTTCTCCTGGTTCAGTATCAACAACCAAAGTGTATTTTGTAGCACTGTATTCATACTGTCACATTGTGACACACTGTTAGTGCAGTTAATACAATACTTTTTCTCTTTGTAGGGTCATTCCAGCTTCATTACTCATCTGGATTGGTCTGTTAATTCACAATATCTCGTGTCTAATTCAGGAGACTATGAAATCTTATACTGTGAGTAAGAATTATATTTAGTCCTTTTGTGCAAAGTTTGGGCAGTCTAACACAGATTTAAAATTTAAATGAGACCATATAACTGCCAAGATCAACCATATGTTTAAATTCATCTGGTGTAATCGATACAATTTGAGAATTAAATATGATGTTATGTGGGGCTTTTTCTTTTGTAGGGATCCCCTCTGCTTGTAAACAAGTTGTGAGTGTTGAAACAACTAGGGATATAGAATGGGCCACTTATACCTGTACTTTAGGATTCCATGTTTTTGGTAAGTGTATTTCATCTTACAAGTTCTTACCATTCTTCTTATTAACAAACACTTGGAATGCCAACTTTTGCTTATGAAACATGACTATTCATAATTCAGGGGAAAATACAGAACTTCCGTTATGCCATTTTTCTTACAATCTGTCTTCTTATTTCAATCCAGAAAGACGCTGATTTAATATTCTTGATAGCTTCAAGTATAAATATCATATTACAACAAAAGTGGTAGATAAGGAACAAAATCACACACTGCCCTTTCAGTCACGGTAGAGCAGCTTCTCACAATTTTTAATTTAAAGTAGCAGTTCTGTGAGATTGCCCTGTACTTTGGTAGTTACTGGGTCGAATCCCCTTACCAGAACTGGTTTCATTTGCTCTGGTTACTGTGCAAGCACAAAACCGATGATAGTCTCCTTCATTAAGAACTTACCATGTATTGTGATACAGTCTGTAGCAATTAAATTGAGTGAAAGAAATTCAAAAAGAAAAACATAACAAAATCCAATGGTTTGTTTCCACGGGACTTCTCTTTTGCCAGTTTTGAAGGATCTTCTTTCCCCAGTGTACTCTGAAACTTTGTACTCATTCTACAATGTGTGCAGGACTGGACAAATAGTTACAAACACTGAGTACGAGAAGCTCCAAATTCTTGAGTCCTCAAGAGGAAATAGGAAGCCATGGTAGAAGTTTAAACTGGTTAGTGTCAACTTGAGACCATTAGTACTTATTTTCAACACCTCACAGAGAACAGGTAAAGTATTGAAAAACTAGAGAATGAATGCAATATCTGCAGGATCATATATATACCTTCAGAGCACATATGGAGATGCTAAAGTGCAAAGTGAGTGGCTAGATTAATAAATTGAAGAAGTACATAGATTATGAGTTGGAAACCACTCCATTTTTGTTCAATTAGGGCCTCAGAGCAGCCAGTTAGAACATCTTTATATTCTTGCTGGGATGGCCTCACTGGACACAGAAGCAGCAATCACAGCATCCAGGATGTGGGGCTTCTAGTACATTGATTTTTCAGTAGCTGTGGCTGACTAAAGTTAGGGATATTTTCTCTCTCTGGTAGAATCACATAAAAATCCCAAACTATGCACAGCACCCGCAGCTCAGAGCTCAGCATAACCAGTGCAGGGGGAAAAAGGAACTCTGGTCCCTTGAACACCTGTCTTTGAGCATGGGAACAGATTAGTCAGCCTGGAAGTGTTTAAAGATGATTCAACTGAAAGTCAATACCATGTAAAGAATGTGCTTGAGGGAGGATGTGAAGGAGCAAAGACTTTAAAACACTTACTAATCTATAAGCTCTTTCAAAAGCTATGTGCTGCTGAATGCATAAGTAAGGTGTCAGTTCATAGCACATGTCCAGTTTTGAAGAAAATAGTATTTGAGATGAAGGACAGGAACAGAAGAAATCTAAGATACTGTATAAAGCCTGACAACATTGCAAGCAAAGCAGAACTCAGACTAGATTGGTTCAAAACCAACTAGAACACTGTAAATGGAATGTTATGTTTGAATATATTTATTAATAGCATGCATGATAAATCAGCATGTAAAATTTGTAGGTGTTGTAAAGCTGCAGGATTAGCAAGTTGTCTTGAGAAACAGAGGAGTGGTATGAAAAAAGGAAGGGATTCAATAGAGTCAAAGAGGAGACTACTAGAATGGCAGAACCCAGTTGTACAAATGCTGAACAGATGAGAGCAGACCTGCACAGAAAGATCAGATTACTTGTGCATACAAACTGAAAATGAGTCAACAGCATTATGCTGTTCTAGGAAAGGCAGATACATTAGTGAAATATGTAATGAAAAGGATGCCATGCAAAATGTGAAGCAATCATCCATTTATCAGTATCGGCTTCAGTCACAGCTGGAATGGCTGCTTCTGGTTTTTCACATTGGACCAACAGATAATGTGCTGACTAGCAAGAATAATTAATTATCCATCTAAATATTGTTCTGGGAGAAGAGATGTAACTAATGACTTCTACAAAAGATGAGGGAAAAATAGCATGCCATCATGCGAGAAAGGAAATGGTCTCTTTTCCAGGTCTGCGGAGAATGGGAAAAAATAAGGACGACTTTTTCAGCAAGGGGGATAAAATTTGCATATTCATAAAAACTGAGTGAGGCACTGGGATAAATTTTGAAAGAACCAAGAGATTCAAAGGAAAATCCTGCTACTATCCATTCCCCATTTCAAAATGGCAGTTAACCATTTCCTTCAGGGGTTATTTCCAGCTTGTCATAGTGACCTCTTGGGAAGACTCCTGCCTCTTTTCAGCTGGCATTTGATATTCATATAGCCTCCTTCTTGTCAAAGCAGATATTTAAAAAAGCTTTTCTGTGTCTCTTTGTTCTGCATATTCATAATTCCACGAGTAGCAATTATCATGTTTCTTTGCAGCTTCCGTTTCTTTGGGCCTCTTTTGCTATCCCTCATCCTGCAATGTGGTGTTTCCACACACATCAGGAAAGTTAAGAGCAGTCTACAAATCAGACTTTGCATTTTATTTTCAGCAATTTGTAATTCCTTATGAAGACGTGAAATTACCTCCTCATAGTGAATTGCTGTGCAGTGATACAAAGGCTGCATTTGGGAAGAATCCCAGTGACTGAAGGATTGCTGTTCCCACGGTGCGTGGCAAATGCCTCCTGTGGGGTTAGAAGTATCCTGAAGAAGGAGGAATTGGAGTGTGCCTCGGGAGTTCTTAGGGGAGTTCTTAGCAACTTTCTCACCCTGACCTGCAGCAGCACCAGAGGAGGAGTGTGCACTCGAGTGGGCGGGGCTGCAGGGGCACCCTGCAGAGGATGGGTGACACAGGGACAGGCACTGAAAATCTCAGAGCCAAGACATGGCAGGAGTTTTGCAAAGTCATGATGGCTGAGCACGCAGTATAACTGAAGATGACAGTGGTCTCTGAAAGCTTGGTGCCCTTTATGTTGAGTAGGGATTAGATAAATTCTAAATTAGAAAATCATAACCAAAGAAAGCCTGCAGTACTGCATGCAAAATCCTGGCATTTCAATAACTGGGTGGATTTTAGTAAAATTGCAATTTATTACAGGCAAGTATTCAGAGTCTTTGAAGATGTGGTGCACAGATTTGGTCTCTGCTCTGTTGACCTTACAGTTGGATTTTAAGACACTACTTTGTGCAAGAACAGCAAAGAGTACAGTATGTAGTGAAGGAAGAGAAGTACTTACAGTAGAACAAAAGCATTTGAAAACCTTATAGTAGGTTCAGTTCCTTTTCAAGGGATCTATTAATTAATAAATAATAATGTAAACTATAGAATGTCATTTTTCATAGAGTTTAGACTTTAGTAATATGAACAAATACCTTTGGATCACACTCTAGTCTAAAAAAAATACCCATGTAATATGAAAAAAAGTGTGTTAACTCATACATAAGGAGAAGGGAAAATAAAAGCAGTAACTATTACTTTTCCACATAACCATATGAAAATTCTTTCAGGCTCAGACACATGACTGTAATTCAGCAGAATGCATCTTTTCAGAGTAAAGCACTTTGCTGACTAGAAAGAATAAAGGGGTTTTTTTTGTGCTTGATTATCTATTAGGATCTGGAGTTCAGCTGGTATGGAAGTACACATTCTGACTCAGATGCAGTTATTTTTATAGGTTTTTCTTTTCCTTAAAAAAGTCATCCTTTATTAATATTTGAACAGAAACTTAGGCTGTCACTTTCATTTCCTTTATAAAAGCCTTTAATTAGTCCCTCTGTGTTTCAGGTGTATGGCCTGAAGGTTCAGATGGCACAGATATCAACGCTGTCTGTCGATCCCATGGGAGAAAACTGCTATCAACAGGAGATGACTTTGGCAAAGTACATCTCTTCTCATATCCATGCTCACAGTTTAGGGTAAGGTATTTCCCAAAAATTTATTGTAGTTTGCACAAATGCATTAAATGTTGTTTTCCTATGAGCAAAAAAAAAAAAAAATCCCAAAACACATCAGAACAGGAAGAATGGGAGTATTTATACATTTTAAATGATTTATTTAAAGTTGATTGAGACAACAATTAAATTTAAAAGTTAATTTAATATTAAAATACTTCAAGAGGATGACATGATGCCTTGGTTTCATTGTTGCATGAATGTTCTAATGAGATGCTTTTATGACAGCTGCTATTCTCACTAACCTGGTATTTTCTAGGCTCCAAGCCATGTGTACGGTGGACACAGTAGTCATGTAACTAATGTAGATTTTCTCTGTGAAGACACCCACCTCATCTCCACAGGAGGAAAGGACACAAGTATTATGCAGTGGCGAGTCATTTAAAGGAAACATCAGCATGAACATACACAGTTGAGTCGACCATGCACAGAACTTATGTATAAACTGTATATTTAAAACTTAACAGTATGTTTGCAGTTTAGCCTGGTCACTGTGATTTTTGTTTAAAAAATTCTTACAAACCTCAGGAAAATTAAGCCCTGTGCTGGTTACCTTACTCAGTCTAGTATTTTTTTTTTCATTGTGTCACACCTTAAGGTTGTTCGTTCTCTGTTGTACAATATATGATGCAGTACAAGTTTAATATAAAAAATGTGGCTTGACAGTTTGCAATACAGTGGTATCAGCAGAATGTGACTATATTAAATGTTTTCTATAAACACTGCTAAACTGGTCACAAAAATGCCTTTCAAAGACTGTATATATGTGCTTATTCGTTTCACTATCTACACTTTGTACTATATATCTACTTATATAGAAAAATCTATGACAATGTCAAGGTACTGAACTGTTTCTGCTGGAGGCTGATGAATAGATACAAAAAGTATAAACTGCCATGTAAGATGCAAAAATTAGTGTTCTAGACCTGAAAATGTGAATGCTGGTAAATTTGCATTCTCTTGGTAACAGCACACCGTGGGTGTCACCCATGAGGAGTTGTGTGATTTTCCAATGAATCAGCAGGCTTTGTCCCAGTTTGACCTGAATTTCTCCGCAGGGCTTACAGATGTCTGTGTGGTTCAGGTAGTCCATATGAGTTTAAATTAAAAATCTTTTTACTTGTATATGAAAAATTTCTTTTTGAAAACTTGGCCACATCCCCATTATTGGCTCATATATTTAACTAATATGTATATTAATCAGCATGATGCTATATTGTACATGTATAAGATTTTAGCAGTTCATAACAAATGGTAAGGCCATCTAGCTTTACTTTTTTATGCTTATGGATACTGTATATTTGTATTTTAAGACCAAGTAGACCAAGTCTAAAGATATCTTTTTAAGTGTACCATAAACCTGCAGAGGGTAAAGGAAGACTTGGAAGCCTACATGAAATATTAATGTGTAACTTCTGGCCCCTGTGTTTTGTGCATGGATGGGTATTTATAGTATGAAATAAGATTGTGTTTTGCAATGAAGTAACAGTGGAGGTGGTATAAAATGGTTAAGAAGGCCTTATCAATGTTGATTGTGACACAGATTGAAATGTATTGTTTACTATAAGGAATGTATCTGAAGAATTTTAAAAGAAGAGTTCTAAGTGGACTCGAAAAAGGTAATATTAAAATTTTGCTTGAAATGGACAGTAAATGTTAATTCTCTGAACTCTAAAGCACTGGTTGTTTAGAGTGATTTAAATGAAATTGAATCAATAAATTTTGAAACTTTTTTATTACATCTCCAACCTCCTACACTGAAAGTGCAGGACACCAATAAACATGTATTAAAGTGAATTCTCAATGCATTCTTCTTATTTAGTAAGGTGTCTTTGTTTAAGCATGAGAAAGAGACAGGCTTTTAGTTAACAACACACATTTGTGATTTCTCCATTAGAGATGCATTTGAAAATATTTGGCAGTAAAATCTAGACTTTGGCGTACATAATTTTATGTGTGCCCATGACCCTGGGGACAGAATGACAATACTTATCTAGAGGGTGAAACTCCAGCTTTTCAGCAGGGAAGGATACCCCACATGCTCTCACCTACAAACTGCCTTGGTCCTGCCTCTCAGTACACAGCTCCTGCTTCTGGGTACTCAGCTGGTGGAATGTTGTTCCACTGCTCAGATTTATGCTCATGGCAAGAGCTCCTGACAATTTCTGTGTTAGGAACTTGTCCTCAGGCAAGACCTTTGAAGGCCATGGTTTCAGGGTCAGTTTAACCTGATGTTACCTGGCACTGTCACTGAAGGCAGAGGTCTTGATACCGGCTGGTTACTCTGATCCCATGCAGCAGCACAAGAGTTATTGTGGCCATAAGCAGAACCCAGCTGGGACACAACAACTAATGCAGACAAAAAACCTGTTTCCTCAGTTTCTGATCTAGCTGTGCAATGTGAAAAATAAATGGCCCAAAGAGTACTGGAACAACTTTTTTTAATAGTGATGTTAATCTCCCTCTTCATGAAGTGTGTGAAGCTAAGGTACAATACCCTTATCCTTTCTAAGGTTAATCTAATCATAAGAGTCCCTAACACACAAGTGACTGGTTTTCATTGTGTCTCGATGCTTGCTGTTTTTTTATTTTTTAATTTTTTTTATTTGCTTTTGAAAATTAGGTGCTTTTAGGTTTTCTGCTTTTGGAACTGTAGGTGACTTGTCATTACTTGCAGCAGAGAAAACAGTATTTGCAAATTGGCTTGGCTCGTTCCCTTTTTTCCTTCTCACATGGCGCTACTCTTGGGGTACAGTAAAGCATTTGTGATCCATTTCTTCATTTTAAACTGTTATCCTTTAGAAGAAATAGACGAGGAATACTGTAAGTTCATCCCTAGGGTTACTGATCAAAGGGCTTTTCAACAATCCCAGCCCATCTGTGCCTCTGCTGCTCCTCTGTTTCTAACTTTTGCTGTTAAATGTGTCTTTGTTCCTCTATAAAAACCTGATAAACGTATTAGCTGAATTGGCAATTGGTGGGTAATGTCTTAAGCCAAATATCCGTTTGATGACTGTTATTCTCCTTTCTTTATCCAGGAAACTCTACACAATTTTGCCATTGTTATAGCTAATCTTCAGCTCTCTTCTCTTCCCTCCTTGTTCCTTTGTTCTTGCATTTATTTGTTTTCTCAGGAGTGTCTTCTTTTTCGCTTTACAAGAAAAAGAGAACAAAATAAAATAAAGAAAGAGTTATGCTTGAACTTTGTGTATTTTATTCTCTCTAAAATACCTGGATTCTTTACCTGACACTCTGTCTGCAGCAGCTCTCTTTTCCTGCCCTACCATGGTGCATAAGGCTGGTCTAAAGTCCATGGCTGAAGACACTCCTGGGCTTCTGCTTCTGGCTGCTCCCTTCCCTCATCCTGGCTGCAGCAGGTGCAGTGTTGCTTGAAGAAGAGACTCATCTCTTCATGTCTTTTGTGTATTGCTATTGTCTGCCAAGCATTCAGATACTCCCCTTCAACTTCCTTTGGTTTCAATTCCCATTTCTTGCTTTTCTTCCCTTAATTTCCAGCATTACTGTTCAGCTTCCAGGACTGCATCCACGGCTGGCACATGTTGCTGCCCTTACCTGCTCATAAAGCCAGTGGCCTTGACTACCTCTCTGGTAGTTTTGGGGCTGTTTTCCTGGTTTCTTATTGTATCTCTGTTCACACTTCTTCTGTGACTTGCGCTTTGGGATATCAGTGAGTGCATCTGCTTTTGTCCCTTTCTCCCTGCCCTGCCACCTCCCAGAGTGGGGACACTGAGGGGACCAGCACTATTCTGTTGTTTCTCAATTGTCTCTGTTTGTCTGTGAGCAGCTTCTAATTTGTATCATGTACTTAGATTTTGAAATATTTTTAGGGTAGGGATTTTTTTTCTCTGTTCTGTGGCATTTAGCAAAGGGATTTTGGGATCCTATACTCACTCCAACTGTGTGACTCTCATATTTGTCCAAAATGATGAGCATGTATTCAGGTAATGCTTCTCTGTTAGGGTATTCAAAGCAATTAGCTACTAAAGTTGATACTATATTATATTCTCTTAAGTCTTAAATTATTCAGAAAACTATACAAATGCTTTCAAAGTACTTCTTTCTCCCTCTTTTGCACTCTTATAAAATAAACATAGACTCAATCTGGTTTTTAGGATCATTGCCCATTTCCAAGTAGAGACTTTTCATTATTTTGTTTGCCTCTTCTGTCTGCCTTCATATATTTATTTTACTCAGAAAGGATATCTTTGTATGATATCAAAACTACAGCCTTTTTCAACTAATCTGATATGTACTATTTCAATTATTTCCCGAAAGATGAATATTACATAAATGTTTATCATACTGCTCGGTTTTGACAGGTTGTTGAAACCTGAGAGGTATTAACAATTTCCAACAGATAAGCACTACAAAAACCAGTCACTCTATTAAAAAAAAGAAAGGCAAAGAAGGAGATAAATGTAAAAGAAAATAGTTTTTGCAGTGCTGGTGAATTAAAAAACACTACAATTTCATATTCTTTTTAAAAAATCCTTGTGGAGCAAATAAATTTTGTTAAAATGGATTTTTTACTACTCTAATTAATATGGGGTTAGTTAATTCAAGGTCATATTTCCTGTGTGAAATGTTTGGATGATTTTTATTCTTGAGAAGATTTAATATTAGAGGATATTATTTTCCTTCAGAATTATTCATGTGCAAGAGCTTGCAAGGGCAAACAGCCCCATTTTTGCAAGAGTTGACATTTTTAATTTCTTCTGGTTCTGCTCAGGGAAGCAGGCAGTCTTTTTGCTCTGTTTTCTACTGGAAACAGGGCTGTTGACAGATCACTCAATTGCATCATCAAAAAATCCTACAGATGGCAAGGAAAATGTCACTTTAATTACTAGTGGGAAGAACAGAATTATGGGAAGCCTGAACTGAAATCCTTTCCTGCCGTTGCTGGCCGGGATTCACAGCTGTGCCGGGGCAGTCTGGTCGCTGCCATGCAGCCCCAGCTGCAGCAGCCTGCCCTGCACAAGAGATGCCCCAAGCCAGGGCACCTCCTCGTCCTCACGATGGGAGATGAGGAGCCAGCTCCTGGGGGAAGGACAGAACCACTGCCAGATGTCTGCTTGTGGCTGGAGGCTGCTGGATGAGTGAGGACATTAGCAGTTCAAGCTCTTGCTGGGAGAGATTTATGTTTCTCCTTAGTCATGAATTCCTGCGGCAATTTCATTTTTCTCAATGGAACTACTTTGCCCCTGAATTAATGAAATAATTGCAGAAGACTAAGTGGTAATTTGCATGGAGGTATCAATGGCAGTGCAGCCAAAGCTGCCATCTAGCTCTGACAGACCTTTTTTGAGTCAGCAGTGATAGCAACAGGCCACTTTGGCCACTTTGGCCACTTCAAAAGCCACTTGGGAAACCTGAGTCAATCAGGATGGTTCACAGCACTGTGATCCCCCATTCCTGCCAAATGGAGAAGAAGGGGCCTCCTTTCAGCAGTGCCTGTCAGTGTCACCTGATGCTGTAGGCACTCCTTCGGACCTCACATTTTGTCTGTTCTCTTAGGAAAACTTCATGTCTTGGACTCAAGTGGTTCCTCCCCACCAGCTTCACAGAGGTTTGATTCCACCATCTTTTGGCTGACTCCAGACTACACTAAAGGAATTTAGACATTTCTGTTTGTTTGTAGTGGACATATCTGTTCTTAAAGGCTACCACTTTGGGTCTAGTCTGAACCATGGGAATGGTGACCTGCTTTCTGGGTCTCTGTGCAACTGAATGGGTTTTTATCAGGAGCTTTTTATCATGTTCATGTAAGAGACGAACATTTTTTAAATCTGCCCTTTGGAATTACCTAGAATAAGCATGTAGCCAGAGGGAAGCAAATTCATCTGCTCTGTAGATTCTGTCAGTGCTACATGAGCTGCAGTTGCTCCAAATTCCAGGTTGTAGGATAAAGAAACCTCCTTCAGGCCGTTCAGTCATTATGGTTAGAAAGAAAAAATTAAAAAGCCTGTGTGAGTTCTGCAGCCACGTTAGATTATTGTAATTTGCCGTTGCCTTGATTTGCCCTTGCACTGCAGAGATGTGCTGAAAGGGGAACAGTCTGCATGAGCCTGAAGAGAACTCCCCTCTACCAAATGGATTTCCTGGCTGTTCTTTCTGGATGCAGTTTCTCATTGAGATAAATGTCATCATTTTAGGGTTCCTTCCTCCCTGCCCTGCTTCTCCTTTTCATCAGCTTCCATTGGTGTTATAACATGATATTTATGACATCAATGTATAACCACAGGGAAAGTTATTGCACCAGAGGTTCAAGTGTTTTGGCCTCTTTACAGCACCTAAAAAGAGCAGAAGCTGAGCTCTGTCTGAGAGTCTCTGTCTACAGCTCCAACAGTTGGAGAGTGAGCTGACAGGAGGCTCACAGAAGTGAAAAGCCCTGTGGCATTTCCCGTATGTGCAGCTCCTGCTCAGCAGAAAATCTGGCCACACGCAGCCTTAGCAGCCTGGAGAGCCCCAGCTGCCTCTGGCTTTGGGAGCACAGCATCACCCCTGTGCCGACTCCCCTCCGACTGGTTTTGGGTGAGAGGGAAAGTCACCTTTGGCCTTGAACAGGTCCCCAGGGTCTGCCTGCGAGGCAGAGCTCCTCCCTGCTGCCTGGAAGTCTGCAGCTTCCTGCTTCAGCCTCCCTAGTGATTGTAAACCCTGCTCTCAGAAGGCATAACAGGAAAAATAAAAGTGCCAGTGAGCTCCTCCCTTTCCAAGAGGAGGCACTGACTATCTCTCTGAAAGCAAAGTTGTGCTCCCATCTTCACTGGAGGAAGTGT